GGCCCTTGAAGCCATGTGGAAACACAAGACTTCAAGGCAAACTAAGCACGGTGTATACCTCAAAGCCAGCCTAAAGCGGACTGGCCGAGGCGCGCAACGCAAAGCGTTTACAATTAGTCGAGTTTCTACTGCCTTAAGTCAGAAGCTTTCTTGCCAAGGACACTTTGCCCTTTCCTCGCGCGCAAGTCGCCAGTGGCTAGAGAAGCAGCATCCTATCCAGGCTCAACTTCAACACATCCGTGGTAGGGTTCGTCACACGAGGTCTTCATCAACTCACCATGTACCTAAAGCATGCACAGCTCCCGAGCTGCACTGCAGTGGAGCAGCTTGCATGTTCAGAACTGCATTGAACAGTTGAACTATGCAGCTTGCCAAACCAGGCCGCTTGAGCAAAGGCTTAGCAATGCGATTCCAGCTCCAAGGCACCTCCACCAAGCGACCTCCTATACGGGCGCGGTTAGCCGACCTTAATGCCCGCAGCTTGTCTGGCGTTGACCTCTTGCAATGCAAATGTGAAGCATACTCCACAACTCCATCAAATAGGTTGCTCGATGCAAGAAACTGCAAACTGAGGTCCTAACGAACCCAAGAGAGGGGTTCTGGCCTTCTCAAGGCAGCTGCATGGGAACATCTGCAATAAACCTGGCAACCGGAATGCCAGTGCTCAAGGCCAACGGCAAGTCACGATGGCCTGACTACCAATGCAGGTGCCAAGCCGAGGAAAGAAGCTCGTGCAATGCAGTTGTGCGTTTTGCCGGGGTCTTTTCATGTGCTGTGTGTGTGTGTGAGTGTCAGGGTTGGCGGGCTCCAATATGTGTCTGCGCACATTGAACTGCAAAAGTGGCCATGCTTGTACTTGTACGTTTCGTATCTTTCTGCGTCAAAACACATGTTTTATGAGAATAGCCACTCGCTTCTTGGGGGGCGGGCGAGGGTGGGTGGATGGGTGGGTGGATGGGTGGACGGGTGGACGGGTAGATGGTTGCTGAACTCTTACACTTACTTGTTCACTTCTCTGTGTGTGGATGTCCTTGCATCTAGATTGTGAAGGCATCTCAGCTCATTTGGGCCGAGGACAAGTGCTGCCGTCTTGGCGTCTTGATCACTTTACACAATACAAAGCATCGATTCGAGCTTGACCTTGTCAGCAAGTGTCAGAAGGTTGCAACCGAAGTCCCTCCTTCAAGGTCTCTCGCTTTTGAGCTAGTCCTGCGAGTCTACCAGGTCCATCACTTTGGCATCCGATGCACGGTGTCACGGGATTCATCGGACTTTCCACCTTGAGCGCTCTTTTGCCTCACTGCGTGGCAGCGAAAGGGTGAAACAGGCATGTTTGCAGTTGATTTACATTGCTGCATGCAAGCTACAAACATGCCAATTGGTGTTGTGTCTCTTGCTTTGGCATTGTTCATTCTAGCGGGCGCATGTTGAAAAGCTGTTTTTCCTGTTCAAGAGTGCGTGTCAAAGCTTTCAAAGATCGTTCGATTGAGATAACAGCAATATTTACGTTGAACTGCCTAACAACAAGCTTCATGAATGCAGACCCTTATTCGTGAATTCTGTCATTGTTTGATACATGGCAAACAAGCATACCTTTCACAGGCAATAACATGCGCAGCGGTGAAACTGTGTGAGACCTTCCGGCACAAAGCGCATGTTGTTTCACTGCCTGCACAAGGTTCCTGATCTCAAACGTTGGCACGCAGCCAAAGCAGAAATCAGCCTATGACACGACCAGCGTGCCAGTCAGGCCAGCCATCACGATTCCTGCACTGCCAGCAACCAGGCTCAAGCATCATGCCATCGCCCAGCATGGCCAGCCACAAACTGCCCAAAGATCCGGAAAACACCCAAGAGAAACAACTGTCTCAGCAAGAAACGAGTCTATCCAATCCTCTGAAAGGATGGATCCGAGCTGCCGTAAGACCAGACCCCAGCCTTATGAGCTGCTCCTTGATGATGCGGTTCAGTTGCCGATGCTCTCGGGCCTTTGTCTTGTAAGGCAAGTTGGCTAATAGCTCAGCTCTTTCTCCAAGTGGAAGAGCGACCGCGCCGAATGCTCGGACTCTAGCATGGCTGGAATCGCAGGTCTCCGCACTCATAGCCTCCGGAAGCAAACAAAACACGGGCTCAACTCTGCGCAGCGCCCGATCACACCCGCTTTTCCATTTGAAAGCTGCAGGCAGTGAATTGTTCTCAACACCGCACAAAAAGCTTAAGCCAGCTGAAGTGAAAATTGCAGGAGAGTCCCAGGATCATATCAGTGCTACTGTACATGCAACCACTCTCATGGGGCAGGTCCCCTTCTTCAAAAAACTGGGTGTGACCCTCTTCCTCTATTGTCTATGGTCTAGGAGCGGTTTCACAAAGCCACACAACTGTCACCACGAATGCTAGATGTCAATCTAGGAACAGGTCACAAATATCACAGCCCCTGCCTCGTTGGCACTGGACCTGAAAGCGGCAGGGAATATGGCACCAAGCGTGGGCGCCATTTCCCTCCCCTCCGCCATGCCCTTTAGTTCCTGCCTTCCGGTATACGGAGTGCCCGGGACACTGGATATCTGGGATATGCTGTCCCAAGCCTGGCTCACTCTGCTCTGCCACTCTGGTCACAGCGCAATCACTGCTTCATTGCTGGACAAACGAAATGATGAGCACGTCTGTGCCAGAACGCAGGACGCATCACTTTTTGTTGGAGAGTAAGGATATCATGTAGCGCAAAGGCAACTTGAGTTCCATCTCACCCTTGCTTGTGGGCTCCTGCAAGGAACTCTACAGCTCCCTCCGTTCTTGTACTCAGCAAGCGCCTGACTCGTTGGCAGACATTCACCCGTTGTGCTTGTATTTCTGTTTTGCGGTTGCCTGCTCCTTTGGACATCGCAGCTGGCCGCTGTCGCACGCGCCTCGATGCCTGGGGTGTACTCCACCTTGCGGGAACCTCAGGCAGTGCCTGGACCTCCCAAAAGGAGTCGGCAAGAGACTGGAGCTGTCGGACTTCCCATATGGGCCATATCATTGGTGGAACACCAACCACTTTTCAGGGGCTTCCTGATTAAGATTCACAGCCATATCCGGGGGTGTTAAGGGTCCCCTTGCATGCGGAAAACTGGCCCTGGTACGGTCGGAACTGTCCTCAGGCTCCGAGCCGTTTCTTCTCAGCCGAACGCAAGCAGCTGCCTTGGCCTCACTGCTCCGCCAACTGACGAGCATTGTGTGGGTCGAAGACGCACAGAAGTGGAAGCGATTTGGAAATTGACACGTGTCAGCGATACATCCCTGACTGCTTCACTGTTCAATTTTGGCAAACTACAAGCAGAAGCAAGGCAGCTTATGCTTGACGTTGCTTGTATGTCCGGCAAATTCCACGCCTACAATGTCTGCGCAAAACAAAACCAAAAAGTGAGGAATTGTCTTGGATTGCAGAATTGAAATCAGCCACTTGGTGCAAACAGTTCAGAAGCCTCCGATTCGAGCACGCCGATTGATGCCTGGGGCCAAGGCAGAGCTCGCTGAGCGCCACTGCTGCTGTTCGAGAGACGCCGGCTGCGGCTGCCATAGCGGTCCTTGCAACTCAACAGACAGCTAGTTGGATTTAACGGTTTCCACATCTGGTCACAAGTAAGGCACAGAATGTGTGTTGCCCCGCTCCTGACGCGCCTGCAGGCCAAATGCCCTGATCAGGCCGCTTGCCACGTGCCAGCTTGCCTGATATGCGGGAAGGCACCCTTTATCTTGTTGCCATCACCAAAACTGCGCTCCCAGGCCCCGAACGTGGCAGTGCTCCGCAACTCCGCGACTTCTGCAGCCTGCACCAAGCCAAACCGCAACTCAGGCCTCCTGAAGCTATCGCAAGATCGACATCCCAAACCAACCGTTCCGAGCGCTGAGCTTGTGCTCAGCACCGACTCAAGCAGCAGCGTTGCCTGAAATCCGCCTCGCGGGGCGGCCAGCTTGGCCTGGCACATGCAAGAAAATCCTTGATGTGCCATGACAGCTTTGAGCCAAATGTGCCAGCTAGTGGCTCATGGAGATAAGTTAAATTATTGGTCGTTGCCATCGAGAAATAAGTGCATGCATTGAGAAATAAGTGTGATAAAGAAATGCAGATAAAGTGTGCTCATAAAGTATTTGCTGTTGTTGGTGTGTTGTGATGTTGAAAAAGAGGCTGGAACACATATAGCTGGCTCACCGCAGCGCAAGGTGCAAAAGTGGCACAGCGAAAGAGAGTGATTTGCATGCTGAGGCCACGGCTGCAAAGGGGCCATGAGTTCTAGTCAAGGATCAAGCTGAACTATGTCTAGTGGAGTTGTGATTGCACTTAGTTGCCGTGCAATGCCTCAGTAGATACCTTGACAGGTCTCTGGGCTTGCTTTCTGTGTCTGTGCCTGCGCTGCGTCTTGATACCGACCTTGTAACCATAGGTTGGCGAGAAGAGGGAGCGAAAGACGCACCAACCAAGTTCAAGTGAAACGTTCAATAAGATCATGGCAGCATTTGAAGTGTTCAAGATCGGCTGTGGCGCCTACTTACCTTCAGCCAGTGTGACACAAAACGCTCCCCATAGTGCTGTTTTGTTTGGCGTGGACCAAATTCGGCTCGGCATTCACACTCACCCCTGGTTGGGCAGCATCTTCCGCTTAAAGTGCTCATTGATGCGAAACGAAATCATCTGACTGAAAAAGAAGAGAAACACAAAAACAACTCTTGGGATCCTGTGTAGTCCAAACGGCATAAAAAGCTGCTGGTTGCAGTTGTGCATGCATATCGCACATTGCCATGATGCCGCTTGGCGGTACATGACGGCGTCATGGGGCAAGCGCTGCCCCACTGTGCGGCCTTGCCTCAATCTTGGACGTGATACTGTGAGACGCTGTTCTTCTGCTCTTTGGTCATACTACGCTGAAGCGTCATGACATTGGTCCAAAAGCAAGATGCTGAAGGTACTGTGGAAGGCGGATTCGTTCTGGTTGGAAGCAAAACAACAAAAGCAACCTATCCACCACAATTCATGCTTACAACCTAGCGGTTGCGCCTATTCTTTGAAAAATGGAACAGCTAAGTCACAATGTGACAATGACTCACTTTTTCCGGCCCTTTTGCTTTTTCTTTGGAGCCTGGCGGCAAGTACTCATTCCATGCAACAAGGTGCTGGAGGCATATCAGGTTTTCTTAGTTTATTGATGCTGCATCTGCCCGCCAAAGTGCAAAAGTGCAGCCAGCCTCGTCCTCGCCCTCCGACTCGACTGTCTCTTTGATGTCTTCTGGTGCTACTGGCGCCTTGAAGCCCCGGTGACTCCACTTGGAGTCAAAAAAAGAAGCTTACTTATGATCATTCAATCACGGTCGCTTTGTGACATTGATAATTCTCTACCTCAAGGGGTAACAAGCAAGTCAGAGTCAGTCAGAGATCAGACAGGGCACAACTTCGCTCTGCCGTCTGCAGCAGCAGCAAAGCTTTTGGGTCAACCCCTTGCAGCGCGGTCATTGGATGATTATTGAAAACTGCTGTGAACACTCAACCTGGAGCAAAGCTTGGACAAATACTTGTTGTTAGTCAAGCAGAAGCTGGCCGTGTTTTTCCAACACCTACGTGCACTGCGTGCCGTTTGGTGCAGACAAGAGACAAGCTTGCTGATCCGCCTGAGAGATTGTGCCCCGGCACTTTCCCCGATTCTGTCACAAACTGGCTTCAAGCCAAGCTGCTGTCCAAGCTGATTCAACCGTTGGCCCAGATATTGGTCCCAGAGCCGCCATACCTTCAGGGCACTCGCACGTGAAAGGCCAAGCTGCCCTTTCCCTCTTACTATATGCTCCCTCTCTATCTCTCGCTCTTTCTCTCTCTCTCTCTCTCTCCCTCTCTCTCTTGCCCTCCCTCTTACTCTTGCTCTTCACCCAAATGGTTGGTTGTCTGTGTTTGTGTGTGGGACGGTCTGGGCGCTCGCAGCCACTGCCACCCAGCCTGCCCCACTGCATAAGCCAGGGGTTCAGGGTTGGGGCTCGGCACAAGCTTGCATGACACGGCCGGCCCCATATTCAATCCAAGAACCCATGCCCCGCAAGCCCACGCAGACAAGTCTGCATGGGCCGGCAGGTAAGACGGCATGGCATCCGCGCTAGCAGGATATCCCAACCAAGCTGTTCCCACAGCGATCCCTCGCAGCGCGTCCCGGAGAATGGCAACCCCGATCGCCCCATCGAGTTTTGGTATTATTCGCGCACGCACCGGCAGCAAGCAAGGGAGCCTCCGCCGCCAAATACTCAGTAGCGGTATGGTTGGTTGTTAAGATGTTGGCTCCGAGTTTGTATCGTCAATGGCCACGCCATGGCCCGCCTCATCCGGGCTGAGCATTGCGGCGCTGTAGGTTGGAATGCCAAACGCGCGCTTGAGTGACAGGCGCGCTAGCGCGCGCCTCTTCTTAGCTGCTTTGGGATAAACGATCTGAGCTCTCAGGGCTGCTTGCAGATTGGCGGTCTCTTCTGTGGAGAGTTTTGGCGGCATGGCACCCAGTTTCTACGCAACTACAACCACAGCCTACAAACATGCAAGTTGTTGTTCATGTTGCCTCCAACAAGGCACGCACTCTGCTAGCGCGGTGCTAGCGCGGAGCTAGCGCAATGCGCGGCTGCGCACGGAATTGCATGTGTGTTCAGCTTTTTGCCGGCCACTCTAGTACTGTCGCAGAAGGGGCCACTGCGCAGGATGCATGAAAACATCCGCATCTCATAGTCCATGTCCATCCTGGACCAGACTGCATGAAAACAGGTTTTGGCCAGCATTCATATTATGCAGCTGCAGCCCCAACTTTCCCGCAGTAGCGCCGAGCTAGCGCCAAGTTAGCTCTGCCGGTGGGTATGAATGATTTAGGTGGGGGCCCGCCTCATCGAGAAAAGGAAAAACACAAGATGCAACGCGAATTACCAACATACTGTATATAGCTCCTGAGGCGGCCTTATTGAACGGCAGCCGTATTAAACTTTGGCCGACTTGGGTCTGGACTTGATGCTCTTGCCACCAACACGTCGCAAACAAACGGAAAGCGGCACCTGCGCCCTCCGCTCATCGGGAAAGCATGTCTGCATGATCCGCGGCACAGGCGACCAAAGGCGGCCTGAGGCCCACGAACATGCTGGCCAGAACTTTCAAGCTGGGCTTGAGTCAACCCTTGGATATCCTTTGATGCAGGCAAAGCTGCGCCCAAGGGATACCAATGCTCGAGATGCCACCCCGGCAGTCCAAGCGACAAAGCTGCAGAACTCCTTGGCAAGCGTGTGCGGAGGACTTGCTCAAGCTGAAAACTGCTCTGATGACTTTCAACCTGTCTGTAGTGTCGGTGTCTATCCAAGCTTCACTCAGAGTCGGCTCACCAATGATGAGGTGCAAGATCAATGACAGCGGCTCAAAAATGAACAGGTTCATCAAACAACTGATCACGAGCAGCGCCAGAAATCGCTGCAGCTCTGGCCTTGGCATGCTGACATACAAAAAAAGTACAAGAATACGACACCAATGCTCCCAACATCAAATCTCAAGTCGGGTGAGGCTAAGGGGCACCAGGACCAAGTGGATTCGCCAGCCGTCGATTGAAGCGGCTGCCACCTCAGCCCGCTCATCCGGAGGGTAGAGGATCTCCATCACAGTCGTGTCGCTCCGAGCTTCCTCATACCTAGCCGCGCTGGAAACCGGATGTCCACTGGTGAATCTGCCTAATGTCTGCGCACAACTCTCCAAGTCACAAGAATTGGAATGAGTATTTGGGCGTATCAGAAACTCGGAATCTGACTTCTGGCTTCGGCATTGTCCTGTCACCTGCGCTGCTTGCAGCCAAGCATCATATAAACCGAGGAAGAGAAGAAGAACATGTAGTGGCACACACTCCAGGCCAAAAGCAGAAGCATCAAGACCTCAAGTGGGTGCCGTGGTGTTCCGCGATGCAGAAGGGATGCTGAGAGACTGGTTAATTCTGCCAGAGAACTGAAACAAGCGGTACCAATGAAGGCTGCCAGTGCATGGACAGCAGCCGCTGGCGCTTTGGCCGCGGGCAACATCTGCAGCATCTGCAGCATGATGCCACAGAGCAGAAGCAATTCCAAAGACGCACCTGGCCATAAGCTGCGGGTTGCAAAATCCTCTACGCATTGACGCGCATGTCCCCAAACCCCAAACTCTGCCTTGGCTTCGCCAGGGGCCATGAGCACTGCAGGCCACGGCCCCAGGAAATGGCGCGTGAAGGCTCTTTCCCGTGCAGCGGCCGAAAGATCCTGGGCGAACTCCAAATGCTTCATAAGATCTCATGAGACATAGTGAGTGTTTGTCTTCAGCCCTAAACTCACGGCCCCCATCAAAACTAGCCAGGATCTTGTTGATCCTGTATGGCAACCAGTTCTCTAGGCTTGATGGCCATCCGTCGAAGGTTCCCCACTCGCCGAGGGGCGGCGGCCTCGGCTCGCTCCAAGAAGCTGCGGCCGCGGCAGAGCGTCTGCAGCCCCGCTGCCATTGGCATCGCCCAAAGCGCCGCCAGCGCGGCGGCGCCCAACGACGAAGGCGGCACCAAGCACCCCGCCTCCGCCCAGGTCAGCCTTGGATGACATCCGAAGCTTGCGCGCTTAAGAAAAAAATATTACGCGAGTCTTGGTTTGGCAGCTCTTTGGTGCGAGCGCCTCAAAACTCCAAGCCACAACCTGCCCGGACATACTGTCAACGTCGTTGCTCGGCTGTCAATGCGCCAAGCTGCTCGCTGCCAGCACCTGGGCAGAAGGGATCCTGGAAGGGCCGTCTGTCCGTGGCACCACCTGGACAGGCGCCACTGCAAATGCTTTCACAACGGCTAGCAGACAAATGCCAGTCACTCTGCGTATGCCAGGTTGTCTCACATCCAAGGCACCCAGCGCCACCGCCAAGCAAGCGGCATTGGTCCACAGGCTGAAGTGCAACACAGCAGCCCGCTCCGGGGCGCTAAAAGCCCAGGTCTGGGTGTCATCCGACAGCGAAAAAATCCTCGTGTTGTCAAAGCGACTGTAGAGGACATTGACACCGCACAGTGTACATGTGTTTGTGCAATCAAACAAGACGGAATGTTGCTCACATTTAGCCGCTGTCTCCACCCAAGGCGCTTGTGGTGCGTGTGACAGGCACGCCAAATGTGTTTCCGCCGGCAGCGCCGCAAAGCATCGATGACCACGTCGCGAAGACTGCGCCTGTGGCTGTAGGCACGAGACATCGCACGGCGACGTTGATCACCATCTCCACATTGCTGATCACATGAGCTTGGTCCAAAAGCAGGGACCCATTTCAATCGCCTCATGTTGCCTCGCTCTCGAACCAAAGAGATTCCCGCTGTTAAGATGAGCTCACTGGCCTTGGCTTCGTGGGTGCCTTGGTGGAGATCATCGCTTCCTCTGGATGGAAAGGCTCCTGAAGGTAGCAGTTCCATAAGCATGGAAGCCTCGTATGTTCAAACTCCCCTTAAAGCCAAAAGGGGTCCCCGGACTTGACACTCTCTCCACTCCATTCTCCTCGCGAGCAGTGTCTCGCAGGGAAAGCATTGGCACAGGCGATCGCGCCCCTGTCGGAGCTTGGCACTTTCATTGCTTAGTGAGACATACAATTTGACAGCGGACACAACTTGCACTGGAAGCGCCTGCGGATGCTGGCGGTGGCGGTGGCACCGCCATGACAGAAGGGGTCGCTTTGGACAAAGTGCCGGTGACGAGGGTCCCCAGCGGTGGTGGCGCTGCGCCTCGCGTCGAGCATAAGAGAAGCACAAGAGCAAGCACCGGAGAAGCACAGGAGAATAGGAGAACAGGATCAGAATGCTCAGACTGCGCCCGGCTTTCCCATCTCACTGTGCCGATGAACATTCATCGGTTCATCGGTTCGCCTGGCAAGGCCAAGGACTTCACGACATCCTCCTCCACATCTCCCAGGCCATGCGCCTGGAACCCGGGCATGGGTTTCGAGCATGCAAAATGGAAAGTCATTGTTCCCCCAATTCCCCCCCGTTCACGTAGAGTTGCTGCACGGATCTACTTTTCTTGACAAAGTGCCTGAAAGAGCGTGGCCAGCCCGTCCTTCGCCTTGCAAGAGTCGACATGGCGTGTGGCTGAATTTATGTCGGAATTCTCTCGAGCAGACCATGCATGACCGTGCCCACTTGAGCTTGGATTCCGGCTTGGCGAAGATCCAACGAGGTCTGGGTAATTGAGGCGTGTGGAAGTCCTGCAATGACTTGCATCAATGAGGCAAACCCCGAATTGAATGCATCCAAAGACAAAGAGGTTTGAGCTCAAAACAAGGCGCTCCCCCTCCTTCCGCTTGGCGGAGTGTGGCCTCCGCCTCTGCGCTCATAATGGCGGCACTAAACTCACCTGGCTCTCGCGAAACCCAAACTCAAATCGGCGGATGTCTGCGGGTCGCACTCTAGGACAACGGCTGAGGGACGGGAATGCAGATACACACACCCACACCGCTCGAGACCCGCAACGCACCCCGAGCGCCTGTGGCGCGAATCTCAGCGGTTCGCCGTTTGATGAATTCCTGACAGGTTGGCAGGTGGCTTTCTGAGAACGTGGAGAGTCGTGCAGTCCCTAAGACCTTTCATCCAAACTACCTGCCTTCTCTACAATCTCCAACTTCTCGACCTCCTTCTGCACACCCTTCTTGCGAGCTGCATGCATAGCCACAAAGCGCGCTTGCATCCGCCATCGGACCTGTGCCGCAAAAGCTCTAGGCACGTCTGAAAGGTCTCGCAAGAGATTGCAGCAAAACATTACAATATGGGTGAGATAGGAAGACGTGGACGGACAAAAACACGCGGAGGCTTTGAAACCATCAATGTCAATTCCACGTTTGACTATCCGAGGCTTGGCAACCCACTATGCAAGTCATGTGGTGAACACTCTTCGACTGGTGCCCAAGACCCACCTCCGCAACCGCAGCGATCAGGGAATGCAGTGCAGCGAGCAGCACCAGGGCGATAACGACAACAAAGCCCCGCAGGTTGTAACGATTCACCTGGTCACAGGACCCCTCCGCACCCTTCTCTAGCACCATCAGCACTATTCGGCCCAGCCTTGTCCCACCAAGGCACAACAAACTCCCGTGTCTGGATCGTCACTTGGGGAGGGAACGGTGTCAACTCTGGCCTTGCCACAGGAGAGAGCCACTGCCAAGCAGTCAATCAGTCGAGCAGGACTGGCCTCTTCTCTGCAATGGCCATGGCAGGATGCAATGCCCACGGAGCGCACTCCTGAGATGGCACTTGGGCAAATGTGCATTCTGTCAGGCATCGCAGCCCAGGCTCGCAAACCATCTCGAAGTATCCAGACTGCAGCAACGGCCAGCGGCGACCTTCAATTACTCACTCACTCAAGAACAATCTCTGCACGTGCGAAACATCTGTGCCACAAAAAGGGTAAGGGGCCTTCCCAAAGAGACCCGTTCACAGGCCACGACTCGTTTACTTCTCGTTCAGCTGTGATTCGCTGAAGCCCGAGGCCTTTAGCCCGCCTGGCTCTGCCACCAGCTCACAGCCCAGCGCCGGAACGAAGCGGCGCAAGGGGGCTGACCAGGCCACACACTCCAGGTCTGCCAAGGGGTCCACGCCTGAGACTGACCAAGACATGCTTAAGATTGAAGGAGCCAACTGCTGTTTCAAGAAGCAAAGTCGCCACAAGCAATTTGTAGCACAAGTTCTCAGGCTTTAACTGCAACATGATGTCCTTAGTAAGCCTAAAAATGCTTCTGCCCCAAATCCCCCCATTGCTTTCAATACCATGATTCCACAGTCGTCTGGCGGCAAGCAGTCGACCTCTGGACCTCAGCGACTTCTGTTGTTCAGATCACACAAGTAGCCGGATTGCTTCATTGTCTGTCACCAGAAGCGAGACAGACTGAGCACAGCCTGCCTAAGCTGAACGAATTGAAAAGGCGAGCTGCACAAAAAAGAGCGCAGGTCCACGGCTGTGGTGCTGGTCCGCGTCTGCGTGGCTGGTGTTGTCGTCTGAGGTATCGGCGGCTGCCAGTCGGGGCCACCGGCGGACTCAGCCCAAAAGCTCTCGTTCCACCAGGAGGGCAGACCCTCGTCCAAGGACTGCAGCATCGACTGCAGCGGCCGCATGCTGTCACTGCCAACCACCGGATCCAAAGAAGCGAAGATGTCGCTCAATACCGCTGGAGCCAGGCTGGGCACCTGGGCTGGGGCCATGCCCAGAGAAACTCGGCTAGCCACGTAAATGACTAAGCCTCATGTCTTCTAGTTTACCATGAGTCATTCAAAGGGGTGCTAAGCTGACACCCAGTGGAAAAACTGGCATAAGTTGAGGAGGTTGACGTGAATGTGGATGGGAAGCTATATGGTGAGATGTTTTAGTTAGATGGCGACATGTTACCATCCAAGCATCACAAACCTGAACTGCAAAATCAAATGGGCACTACCTCTGCATATCCTTAACACCAGCAGTTCACGTTCAAGCCCACCAATGGACAATAATGCATGTGTAAGACAGTCTACCGTTCTGTAGTGTAGTTGACTACTGAATCGAGTGAATTGAGCACAGAGTTGTACGCATGCCATATCCACGGACTATCAATGGACTGTTATGTGCAAATGTCACACATGTGACTTGCATGAGAGCAATCATATTCATCAACGATGTGGCAGAACGGCGGACATTCCAACCATCTCAATCCCTGCCTGACACCAGCTGCTGAGCAGGTCTGACGCGGCCAGCCCGCGCTCTGCCCACGAGCCCTCGGAAGTACTTCTCGCTGTGCCATCGCTGTTCTGCAGCTCGAAAGCCAAAGCACGCGACAGGACCTGTGCGGACCGCCGCAAGCAACGAAGAGAACAACCCAAGCAAGACCTGAACAGGAGGGACTTGACATTGTGCAACACCCTTGGAAATCTCAGCAACCGAGTTCAACCCCACTCCACACTGCACTCGCCTCCAAGGGATCAGAGAAAGCGATCTCCAAAGCACCCAGGACAGCACTGGAGGAGGGCTGCAGCTGAGGGAAAGGACCAGGGGTGTTGGTGCTGGTGGTGCTTGTGGCGCTGGTGCTGGTGAACGTGGTGGTGCTGGTGACCGTTGAAGTGGGAAGCTCTGGTCGCCAGGGTCTCAAGACCTGGCTGACGTTCGCCAGCTCGTGCAGCTCTTGCCAGGAGACCCAGAAGTCGTAGATGATGGCCATGGCGTGGACGAAGTAGATGCTCCGCCTGTTGCAACATGTTGCATCAGCCCGAAGAAACACTTGCGGTCTGAGAACTATGAGAACTCTGCTAAGCGAGTGGAACACGACAGTCTTGCTGTTTGGCATGGATGGTCAAAGGTGTCATAGAAATGATTCAAACATCATGCAGCTGTGCTTCGTTGGCGCAAGCATTGTGATCTTCCCGCCAGGCATGCTCATGGCCAGAGAAGTGCTCTCGTTGAGCGAGAGCTGCACCGCCGACACTCCGAATAGAAGGATGCCATCTGGATCCAGCAGTTCCACATCAGCGTAAACCGGCAAATAGTCTTCGGATGTAACACCACTGGGGCACCACGTGTCTATCTGAGGTGGCTCTCCCCCAACGCAGAAGACTACCGTGGTTGATGTCGAGGTCCTTGTTGTGCGGGTGCTACTTGTGGTCGTGGTGCTGTTCACACCTGAGAAGATGTTCGCCTGAGGACAAACTCAAGTCTTCCTCCTGCCACGGGAACCCTATTTGGCATGTGGGCCCATGTGTTTCGTTGAACCCCTAGGCACCTCTGAGCTGGAGCTTGTGGAGCTAGATGTGCGTGTGCTAGATGTGCTAGATGTAGTGTTGGAGCTAGTGCTTGAGCTGGTCGAAGTGGTAGACGTGGTGGATGTACCTTTGGCTGCGCTCCCAAGTCCCTACTCCGCTCTTTCTCTCTCTCTCTCTCTCTTTCTATTTCTTCCTCTGTCTCTGAATCTTGCTCGCCATGCGGAACATGCCTGAAATTCGTTTGAGAAGAGCTCAGTCGGAATTGTATGAGCTCTTGAAGGATGTGTATCGTATATGGAGACGTAGATGGACATGTAAATACGTTGCTTGTACACAGGGTTCAAGGGTTCCAGAGTCAGATCCTTGAGGTCGTATCCTAGTTCTGCGCCGTATACTGGAAAATACCACGCAGTTAGCTCTTCTGTAAGACCAGCTCCTCTAAAAGTTAAGGGCATCGTCGGAGGGGTGCGACCTTAAGGGTTGAACTCTTGAACCTTTGAAGAGATGTGAATCGATTTCACGACATCAAGTTGCCGGTGAAGAAGGTGCCATTGCCGGTGGTGGTGGTCGTGCTGGTCACAGTGCTGAAAGTGCGAGTGCTTGACGTTCGAGTCTCCGTCATAGACGTGGTGCCTACCGGCTGAGCACAAAGATCGGCTCTGCGACCAATGCGGCGCCCTTGTCACTCACCAATATCGCGACAGTTCTGAGGGAAGCTTTGCAACAAAGGCCAACATTGAAATGTCTTGTCACAACATAGTAGACTCGTACGTGGCTTTCGTGTCGAGATGCTTCTGGTTGACACGGTGGTCGTTGAGGTTGATGTCTTGGAGCTGGATGTGGTGTAACTGCTTGAAGTTGACCTGGCAGACTTCGGGCCATGCCCAGCACCAGGCACGTAAACCCTTCTCAGAATATGTTTTTCTTGCTTCCCTTCTCATCATGCCCTTGTTTTGTCGCACCACAAGGGCGCTAGAACTGTCTAGGACTGTTGGGTTTGCCTGCGACTATGTCAGGGGCGCATCACCCCGGATGCTGCTTCAACAACAAGCAGCTCTTGCAGGGACAGGTCCATTCACAAGGCTCCATATTTTCTGTGCTTCGAGAATCAAGCCACTCTTACTCACTGTTGTCCCTCCTAAGCCTGCGTGGGCAATCAATAATAATCACCAAGTGGGACAAAAAGCCTGAGCATTGCCCAACACCCATTGGCATTTACATATTCGAATGCTAACATGTGGATCGCCAAGTCTAACTGTTGCTGCTGGGCCACGGCTGCACTTGCAGCTACTACATACCTACTTCAAAAATGACGTTTGGGATGTCAGTTCAATGTCAGCTTGCCCAAGCCACAAGACTGTGATCAAGCCACAAGGCTGTGATCAAGCCACAAGGATGTGATCTACACCACACATCAAAGTGCGAGAGGGCGACGTTGAGGTCGTGGTCCGGCTGATTGTACTTGTTGTCGAGCTTGGGATGAGCAATGGGTCCGCTAAAACCTGACAGCCAGCCCCACTCTTTCTACGCACTGCGTCGAAAAACTGGGGCACACATTCAAGCACTGCAAGCAGGTCCGAGAATGGCCAGGAAAACAAGGTGAGGACATTCTCAGGCTGCCAATAAGCGATACATACTCTTTGCCAATAAGTGTTGCTTTGATCGTGCTTTGCTGTGCCTCTTCCGTTCTGCACAGCTGCAAGCGCTTTCATGGTTGACAATGAGGAACAGCGGAACCCATTCTGGGACTGGAGAAGGCCCATGCCTCGTGCGCTGCTTCTAGAAGCAAATCCTGGAAGGTTTGCCAGGAGAGCGCCTCAGAGGACTTGGATTGGCAACTGAGCGCGCGCAAAATCTGCGGAGCCCCCGGCCGACGCGCGCTTAGCTTCCGCTCGGGCGAAGACAGCGCGGCACCACGCATCTGAATGAAAGCCTGATCCGGTCAACAAGGCAGCATATCGAAGAAGCACAACAAGGCAAGCACGATAGAAAATGTCAAAGGGCACTTTCATTTAGGTGGTGTGTCCAAACACAGACAAGGTGTCGACTCGACCAAAGGTGGTGCAAAATGACCGCGCCTACGCTCGGCTGCTCGAGCATGCGACCCTCTCGCAGGATCAGGCGGCTGGCGGCATTGCCTCAGTCGACACGCACCAGGTCTTGCGAGTACTTGGCAAAATGAAGCCAAAGATGGTTTTGGGCCCCAAGGATCCCGAACTTGGCAAAAGGCCTGTGAGTTGCCTTCCTGAGGTTGTGGCCCCTGCTGTCACAGGCACGTGCGACCTGCGTTGGCGGCCCATGGCGTGGGAAGTTCAAAGTGGCGTCTGTTGCGACACGTAGGTTTGTCCACCAAAGATCTGCAGCCATCACCAGAAGCACCACAGGCCTTCAAGTCGCCTCCTCGCATCCGCAAATGACTTCCGGCGATCAGCACCTGATCAGTCTCGCCGAATGACTCGCCGCTCAAAAGCCGCTGGCCCTTGAGCACCAGAGAATTCCCTTTTGCTTTCTCTGCATCTTAAGTGTTTCAAGGTCGTGAGATGGAGCCGGTTTGGATAGCCTGCGGACTCGAGGCCTGATCCTGCGTCCACAGCTGCACGTCCTGCATCAAGCTCTCGAGGCCTGAAGGCTTCACATGGCTCAAAAAACAGGAATTCTAAAATGGAACCTTGGTAAGTGGAAACATGGACCCAAAACCCGCGCAACCCCTGCTGTTTGATTTTGAGCCACAGCCACATGGGAAGAAAGGGACGCAAAAGACAGGAGCAGAACCGAAGGCATGCAACACGCGACGCAAATGCACCGAAGGAAAGAAGGCACCTTGCTCAAAGGGAAGTCGCTGCCCGCTGAGTTCAAGAACCGAGGCTACCTGCCAAGCTGCCAGGCTGCCAAGCCAGGCAAATCGAGATGTGCTATAGTCCAAACGGGCATGGCAGCACGTTACCAGCGATGCAAAACAAGTACAAGCTCCAAGCACTCGCAAGCTATGCAAAGTCAAACTGGAAGAAAAATGCCTTGATGGGTGCCGCAGGTGTCCCCGCTGTGCTCGCCACGCGCCGGGCCGGATTGGCAACCTGAGCGTTGGTCTTTGACAGCTGCGAAGCTACGCGCCATGCTCCAAGACTGAGACCGGCAGTGGGCTCGAAAATGTCGGACATGCGAAGGCAAACGCTCCTCTTCAGCGCAGCACATCGGGCTTGACAATCGTTGCGATCAACTTTCAAATGTCTGGGGTGCTCATTGCTCAGTTCATGCCTATCTTGCGAAGCTTTCAGCCCATTGACTGGTGCAAGATCGTCCTGGTCTGTCCGTCCAATTGGATGCATTGCAGCAAAGCAGCAGCAAGTCCTGCAATGAAACAAGCTTGACTATGAAACATTGCGAAGCTCGCTGCAAAGCATCTATCAGCCTGTCGGCCCGCTGCTTGACAACAACGAGCTGGGCACGCCGGCCCATCGGCTGAGCCAGTCAACTGAAAGTGCGCCTCTGTAGGGGGCACGCAGCGCGGCTGCAGATCTGGCACCTCGTCCCGCGACCATTCGCAAGGGCGCAGTATCTTGCCGCTCTCCGCTCTCTTAGTCTCTGCCCGCTTCCCGTCCCTTCCCCGCGCTCACTTCTCCGCCTTGAAGCGGTAGCGCAGCTTCGTGAGGTTATACCTCGACGCCTCTAGGAGCCGAAGCTGGACCTCGACGCTCAGGCCACGCACCACGCGCGCAAAAACAGCAGATCTGGTCGCTCTCTGATTGTTGAGCTATGTAACCATGTAAAGTTGTAACATTGTAGATGCTGGAAACCCTGAGTTGCCACAAACGGCAAAACGCTGGCCAGACAGCCGCGGCACCACGTCACTGTGCACTTTCACCGAGGGGTCGATCTTCGAGAACAGCCCGCGGCCTCTGCGAAACCGAGTGGCAGCACCAAAAGGAACGTGAGGCAAAAATGAAGCAAGTGGGTCAACAGCAGCACAAAGGGTTGTGCTGTGGTCAACAAAAACCGTATGTTTGGAGTTGGTAGCGACGGTCATGGCCCTTTATAGGAAATTAGACAACCATGATAAGGATTCCTAACACTACCCAAACAACAAGTTTGGAGTAGTCACTTGCTCGAACCCCTCCCAGCGGCGTGGCTGGGCCAGCCAAGGTTTCAGCGGTATGCGCCATGGCAAACGTGAAATGCCGTTATGGTTTGCCAGGCTTGGGCAGCGCAAATCCTGCCCAAGTCACTCCGTGCATGAGGCGGATCAGCCGCGGCAAGGCAACCAGGTTGTCTCGCTGGGAGTCTGGGAGTACTCCCAGAGCGACTATTTGCGTGCATGCAGGCGAGACGTGCAATCTGGACCACAATGCTGCACTGGGTTAGCCTTGGGGTACAGGGCCATGGTGGCTGTATGGATGATGCCGCTGGCCATGCTGGCTCTGACTATCTCTGAGAGCTTCGTCCAGGGTGACAACAGCCATCTGGAGCAGCTTGGGGGCGGGTCGTCTGTTCGTGATCCGTGTTCCAGCGGGCACCGGAACTGACTGCAACATCTGAACGGCAAGGAGGTCAAGTGCCCCGGCTGTACGAGGTGCGTTTAGAACGAGAATGGTGTAGTAGGAATCACTCGCTTATCTTTATCATGCGATGCTTTGCTCAGTGGTCGCATGCGGAAGTAAAGTGCCGCACAACAAATGTCAAGCAGCTGCTTTCTTGGACTATGCCACTGGCTGGCATTCATACGCACTTCATCTGGATCGTCGGGTAACGCCCGCCCTGAGTATTCCACGTGGCTTCTGTCGCAAACACTTGGCTCGCACATCTGTCATGCAAGCAGCTCCATCCACGAGCATATGTTCCCCTGCGACTCAGGTATATATGGCCGGGGTCGACGCGGGATGCGTCGAACAAAGGAGAAGACAGGAGTTTTGATCATGGCACCAATGGTTTCCTCTGCGTTTTACAGGCAGTGGATGGCAGCCACCTTTATTGGTCGATTGCGGCTGGGTCGCGGGTCTCTGTGTGACCAACGCTTGCCCGATGCACAAGCCCAGATTCCTCATCGCAGCTTCCCGAATCTTGCGCATGCAAAGAGCAAACAGGCAATCCAAGTCTCAGTGTCCTTTGACAAAAACCCAACATGACACAATATTACATCAGCGTCTGGCTAGCAACTTGGTAGGGAAGCAAGGAAGGATTACTGGAGGTGCAGCAGTGGCAGTCTCAGTTGCGGGCCTCCGTTCTTCCAGTGCACAGCACCCAGGGGCACCTGGCAGCTCGCATAGATCGATTTGAATCAGAACATGCCCGGCGTGGCATGCAAACTGTATTTGTCATGAATGCGCACGCTCGGTGATGTGGAACTGCAAGCCAAAAACAAAGCAACTCAGCGAGCCTTGACCGGTAGAGTCTGCGGCTGAGGGCCGGAGACAGGGTCTAACCTCAGAGCAGTAACGCCCGCTGTCTTTGCGGTGAAAAACAATACCTGTGGGCTACCATGCTTTGACTGGCCTGACAAACACGGCAATGCTCTGAGAGTGTGTTGCCTCATCTTGGACAACCTTTTCTGGGAAGCGGACGTCTGGTACTCGGTCTCTACTTGCCTTGGTTTTGCACGGCATGTCCTTGCTACGAGAAGGTGGGCACTAAATAGACTTGCTTGAGAATTCCTAGCCCTGCGCGTAGGTGTGTCCAAAGACATCGCTGCCACCCATGTCCTGCGTCTGCCATGTTTGCCCGAATTGCATGAAATGATGATTCGACTTGGCTGCCTGCGCTGTTTCAGTTGACGCCATGAGCACACGTCCTGCTTGGCGGTCCGTCGGTCGACATGACTGTCCTCAATTCTTCGTGGCATCGGCCCTCTAAGCATATTACAGCTATGTAGAGGCGACTGCACATCCTAGCGGGTCTTTCCCAAATCTCCCCGTGCCTCTCATACCCTGTCATGTCAAAATGCTAGTCGGCTCATCACGGCACCTTTCTGCAGCCAGGTGACGGCACAGCCCAATGCATGTCAACGGGCTGTGACTCCACCAAGTGCGGCTCCTGGAACTGAGATCTCCACCAGCTCATTGACGCATGCACGACTAGCAGACTAGCACGACTAGCACGACTAGCATTGCCATCATCTTTGAAGCAACGCGGACCATTCGCCCGCCTGTCCGGGCACCGCTGCCCCAAGCAGCGCATCTGCCAGCAGCGGCGCCATCGACTGCAGCGCCATCAAAATGCCTTGCTGCACTAGCTGCCAGCGCTCTGCCTGCAGCGACCCAGGCCCAACTCATTTGGCAACTCTTGGCATCCGCGCAAAAAAGTGCAATGCCAGGGAGTAAAAGATGTCAAACTGCATGGAACAAGCAAGCATATCAAGCAAGAGGAAGCAGTTGGTAGAAATGCAGGATGCTTTTAAGCGATGCAACCATTTGGGCTGTTGCGTGCGTCTTCCCTTGGAGGTATCGCACCTCTGCCAGCGCAGAAGTGACTTCGTTTGCAGCCGCACCCGTCTCCTGCGCGGCTCTGATTGCAATGCGCATTTGCTTCAGCCAAAGCTCTTAAAGCTCTTGGAGCTGGGATGCAAGGCATGTCGTCCTGAAGCCAAAGGGCAGCCGCGAGCACCGGACCGGGCTGCTCCCGCACGCCGCTGCCACCGTACTTGGTATTGTTCCTCCGCGAAACGTCTTTGGCATCATGGCCTTTGGCTTCTGCTTGCGCCAAGTGGCCAAAAGAGTCGCACAAGCTCACGCCACAGGATGTCCTGCCAGCACTTGTTTGGCGCATTGCGAAATCAGTCTCTGGGAACTAGCTTGTAGCAATGGCTTGTAGCCTGCCTCGCATGCCACTTCAATGATTGCCCTGTGGGTTGCGCATCGGCAAAGCGATGCAAGGCACCCACAAACACACCTGCGTCTACTTGCGTCTACTTTGATCTTAGGATACATAGATATTATAAACCTACAAGTACAAAAAGTAGCCCCCCCCCCCCACTAAGGGTTGGGAACATTGATGAGTTCGAGTCGACACAATCCGCACCTTCTCGTCCCTTGCACCCAGGGTTTCGCTCAAGAGCGGCTGGCGCTCCGAGCGCCTGGCCAGTGAGTCGCATGCGTCGCACGCGCCGCATGCGTGTGCAGCCGAGGCTCCCGAAGCCCAAGAAGGTGCTGTCCGGAAGGGTGCAGGGGCACGGATATGGATCCTCAGCGGCTCCGTGCCATCGCTTCATGCACCTTGTGAACCTCATGCATGGGTCCGAAGACTTAAAGAGCAAAAACCAACGCCTGCAAAAACGTCGCAGCCTTCAAAGTCAATGACTCAAGGGGAACCCTGCCAAGGTTTAGCTTCGCTAAAAAAAAAAAGGCCAAAGGACGATCCCACAAATGTTGAGGAAAATACATCCCAAACTAAAAGATGTGATGCGCTAGGCCGGGTGCCCTTGCAAGAAAAAAGGTATGGAAACGCGATGTGGTTGTTTCAAGATTACCCCTTGTACCTACCCCGCTGAGGCATAGAGAAGCAACAGAAAGCAAGAAACTCAGTTGGTTCACCAAAGTAGTCTACGGAATGCACCGTGGCAGCCGCAGCTTGCCTGCTTGCTACTTTGGTAAAAATACACGGCATGTGTTCAAAAACTGGAAGAGAGAAAGGCAAGGAAAGGAAAGGGAAAGCAGGAAATGAAACAGCAGGCAAGGAGGAGAGGAAAAGGAAAGCACAGGAAATGAAAGCGCAGGAGAGGAAAGGGACAGGAAAGGGACAGCTATTAGTATCGAGCCCGGAAAGGACCGAGAAGGACAAAACACCGTTTGATCGCTTACCAAAGTAGAAAGCACGCCATGATGCACTCCGTAGACGACTGTGGGAAGAAGAGTGTTTTTTTCCCGTTTCCACCCGCTCCCATGCCTGATGGCTGTTGGACGGTCTCGGCTTCCAGCCCTATCTTTTTCCCTTTGCCTGCTTGGTGGTTGCTGGGCACCTTTCCCAGGAAAGGCTCCAATTCACGAACAAACGCTTTGTGGTTTACCAAGAATGTGAAGGGCTTGTGCAACATGTCTTTGCGTGGATTGAAAACATGTTCTTTTGCGGCTATGAGCCCAACGGATCTCACACTGCCGGTCTCACACGGCCAATATCTCGGCTCTCTTGGCTGAGCGCAAAACTGCAATGCCAAGGTTGAGGTCAGCTCGGCAATGTACATCGCCTCAGGCATCGATATCTATCCACGTTACGGTCCTGACTGTCCACGAAACACAGCCTATTGCGCTCTGCCACACGCCAAGTGTTCTTAGGTAGCTGGCTTTGCACGGCCGCTGCTGAAGGGTTTGAAAGCACCTCCCCCTAGCAAGCAATCAGAAAACTAGAAGCTGCAGATCGCAGTTGCAAAAGCCTGGTAGGCCTTCTGGGCGGTTCCCGGGCAGGACATTCGCACCTGAAGCTGAGCGACCGAATCTTCCGCGTGCAGACTGGAGCGACCATGCAGGTCTTGAGAACCACTGGCGAAGTCTTTGCACTATGGAAGCTGAGGCTTCGACTTCAGAACTCGCAAGGTCATAGCACACCGTGGTGTTGGTGCCGTTGACCGGTCGGCAAATCTGCAAGGGGCCGCCGGCAAGTTACGCACAGGCACAGACCGTGACATGCAACCAGCACATTCAGCAAAGTAATGAAACCCCTGAGCTGCGACATTCAGTGTCAGCAATAACACACAAACTGCTCAAACGCCATCCGCATTCACCTCGGAGCTGCCCAGGGAAGTGAGAAGCACCGTGGCTGGCGCAGGCATCGAAGCCATGGGCATCGATGGATCCTCGCATTGAAGGCAAAGCAAGCTCGCCAACTCACCAATCTCACCAATCTCACGGCAGACATAGTGGTCAAGTGCGGCATTTCCGCTGCACTTTTGGCTTGCACCGCGTCCTCCTCAGGCAAGCAGGAATACAGCTGCGAGATCCTGGGCCACACATTTGCCAGGCGAGAGTTCCAAGAGGCTGTCACCACGCTCTTGGGTGCGGGCAAATGACTAAAAAGCTATATGTGGCATATATACGTTTTGTCTTTTGACTGTGGCAGGCTTGAAAACGCACCATCTGCCCCACCCCGCCCCAAACCCCAACTACCTCCAAAACCGTCCCCACGAACGCCAGGTCTCCGCCCCACCCCGCCCCACCTCCCACCCACTTCACATTTCCCCACCGCCACCCCCCCACCCCACCCCACCCCACCCCACCCCACCCCAACCGTAGGTGACCAGAATCTGAGTGTGCAAATGACCCCCTGCCCCCTGAAGGGCAGTGAAGGGGGGACTTTTCACTGGCGCAGGAGGGTTCACCACCACCCTCATGGACCACCTCAATGAATCAAGCCTATCCAGTATATCAAAAAATAAAAAGACAAAAAAAGAAAACAGTCAAAAGTTTGCTCAGCGTTCCCACAACAAAAGGATGCCAAAACGCGAATCGAAAACATCGCCATAGAATGTCGCCCTCCACAAACCACTCGGTAACTAAGGCCCAGGAAACATAACCTCAAAGCTACTACACAGTCAGGAGGCTAAACAGCAAAAAGAGAGCACTCTGTTGTCTGAAAAGAAAACGATCTGCGGCACATGCCACGCAGCAACGGGCCGAAAATCAGGAGCTCATTGCGCGCGCGCGTCTGCGAAGTCGCAGCGCAATTGATAAGATATCGATTTTGCATCACATACCACGCAGGACAACCCGGCCCAGAAGCGGGAACCTGATTTTGCCCGAGCCGGCAGCACAAACCAGCATCGGCCAAGAGCACCTTTGTAAATGCAGTGTAAACATTTCGAAAGCAGCTCGACAACCCAACTCAATCAGTCACCAAATATTTTCCCTTAACACAACCCGTAGTCACACTATCTGGGCAATAAAGGCCAGCCCGCAAAAGACCACGTCGTACGCCGCGCCAACCACGAGAACCCGCGCGCCCAGCTAGCACGCATAGCCTTGGCCACGCAGCCCTTCCCTAAACCTTCCACCACCCCGCTTCACCAACGCCACACCCTGCAAAGCAACAACACAAACACGGGCCCTACAAACTGCCACAGGCCCAGCCCCGACCTCCGCGCGCAACCGGCCCGCGAGTGCACAGGTGAACACGAGCACGTGCCGGCGAGTGGACAAATGACCGCTGCGCGATGCTGCGCATTGCTGGAACGTGCCACGTTTTTTTTGCTCGGCGAGTGTACAAACGACCGCTTCGCTAAAAAGCGAGTGCACGCACGACCAAAACCCGAGTGAACAGACGACCGCTTTAGCGAGTACACAAACAACCCCCTGCCCCGCTGCAGGGACCCCGGCAGCGCGGTCATCTCCACTCGGGCATCCCGCAGCGCTGCCTTAGGGGCTTGCGCTGCCAGGCCTGGCAATGACTCGGAATGCAATTCTGCCAAATTCCTGGTAACGTGTCAAAGGAACCTCTCAAACGGCTATCTTGCTTCTCTTTTGAACCATCCCTTTCTTGCGGTTGACGTGATTTGACACTCAGCCATGGTTTGTGTGGAATGCGGGCTTTGAGAATAGACACTGATCACATCAGAGATTCGAACAGGGGCTGCGTCTCGTGAGTCGTGAATCTTCGATTTCAACATATTCGCGGGTGTCGCAAGCACCCGCGAAGAACCAGACAAATGTCCAAAGGGGAGAAGCAAGATGACCCGGCAAAAGAAACAAAATCAGGCATCATGGCAAACTTCGGGGAATGTTATGGGCAGTCTTCAAAACGTGTTTTTGGCTCAATGGGAGTAGCTGCGGCCCACCCTGCCCTCCCGTCCCCTTGGCTCTCTCGCCTGCAGCAATCCCAACAAGAGATGCCAGGCCATCCAGGGGAACCCGCCTCAGCAAGCTCTACCTTCCACGGATCCAGTTCAGGCCATGTGTCAGTCAGCTGGCGATTTCACAGCTTGACAAGCCTTCACCCTCCACGGCTGACACTGGGTCTCCGCACCGACAATCGTCAGCTACGCGCCGCAGTAGCTGAAAGAATCGGCCCAAAGAGCCTACCCAAGAATCCAGCCACTTGATTCCAAAGCCAAGCAGTAAGTCATCTCTTTTGCACAAGTCATCTCCCCAGCTTGAAGCCAAATCCTTGCCCACCTGGCCTGCCACGGAGTTGATGCCCAAAACCTCCACACACACACACACACACACACACGCTAGTAGGCAGGTGTCATGCAACAAGGCAAGAGCGCATTCGGCTTGGTCGAGACAGGCACCCTTGAGGCTCGAGCCATGCCAAACCCTAGAAACACATCCAAGCCAGGTATGCACAGGCAAGCGTCCACAGCGCCATCCGAATCTTCCTGCGCACCGCAGGCCTCCAGCTGCGTGGCCAACTTCTGCAAAGCATCCAGCACTGCCAGGGTCACGAGCTTCTGCGATTCCGCCTGCCAATCGCAACGCAAGGGCGCTGCAAGGGTCGCAAGGGGAAAACAGAAAAGCCTCGAGTGAGCTCTTTCACAGCGCCAAAGTGTGCAAGCCTGATAAGTCCAAAAGCAAAATAATCATTGGAGTTAACAATAACTTCCGGTGCCTCCAGTTCTATTGAGAAAAAAACAACTTCCCCAGCGCAGCCGAGCTCACACGCCTCGAAGTCTCGCAGCTCGCAGCGGGATCCAAGCCACCCGTCCGCACAGGTGCAGCGATCCCAGCCTGTTCGAACACAGCTGCATGCCCCCCTCAACACGTAAACACGCACTCTCTGGACTGTTGCTTACTGCTTGATCCAAATCAAGATGTGAGCAAAAAAGGCCAGGAGGATGCCAACATGCCAGGTAGCTTTGGTCCAGCAACTCACTCACCTGAGAAAGCCATTGGCCAGTCAGAGAAGACAAATGATGACGGTGTCACTGACACCCAGACTGATGACAAAGGACAACCCAAGGCCACAAAAACTGACCTAGCTCCATAGGCCAAAAAGGTAGATATTGAGCTCATCCAACACGTGCCTGCATTCCAATGCTGTCTGGAAAAATGAGGCCAGGGCAAAGCAGCTGCCATGCGCACCACAATCCTAGGATCAAGCCAACCGCAAATGGGCATCATCCAATATGCCGTCCTCTGTGCAGTTCTGCACACTGGAGTCAAATCTGGTGCTCAAAGCACTGAAAGCCACGTCCTCGCCCGTGGAACACCCGAGGTCTTTGCCAACATGGTATCAGCTGGCAATGCGCAGTCTGCATAACGACCCACTGCACAGCAGTGCTGTGCGTTGCATGCAATCTGTCAAACTTGCCCTTGGGCATCCTGCCAAAGCTGCCACTGCAGCATGGGATCCAAAGAGGAGGCTGTGGATTGCAGCAGGGACAACGTCTCAGATGTTTTCCTGCCATGCAAAGTACATGCGCCTCTGAATGAATCTGAATGCTGTGTCATGTGTGTGTTGACATCGGTGCAGCTTCGATCTTGCTGCTTGTCCCCTAGCTTGAAGAACCCCTGGTCTTCACGGCTGTGCTTGCGGGCCAATACAATTCCTAGTCCCTAGTCCACGAATGTTGGAAGCAGCCCACAAAGCAGTACTCAAAGAAGTGTCACCCTGCAACGGGCAAAACAAGGGAAGTAAAAGCAGCTGGCACTGCCTAGAGACCCAAATGCTAGGCACAAAGCTCGTGTTTTCAATGACTGTATTCCTCTTTGGAGTCGATCCGATGGTTCACGCGCCTTGGTGAGTACTGTGCGAAGAGCATTTGGCCTTGCTGAAATGCCTGAGTCAGCTTCGCCATGTTCTGTCCATGGTGCCTAACGTCTGCCATGGTGCCGCAAGTACTCGCAGCGCCTGGGCCTGTCGAAACGGGACAAAACCTCCGAGCATCCGGAGTGCGCAGACAGGAACTTGCCCCTTGCGTGCAGACAGGACTACAGTGACTCTATGCGCGAGCTGGGCCTCGGCAGTGGCGGATGCCATGAGTTGCACAGTCCTGGGTCTTGTGGCAAGTCCACATGTATCGTTGACGCTGGGCAGTACTTCTGCTCCCGCGGAAAACTGGGTGGCCACTCCATGTCGATTCCGAACTGAATACTCAGCACACGTTCAATTTTCTATGCCCAGCAGCTCTGGTGCGGTGACTGCGACAGTGCCACGCCCGTCTCTGGCCTGAGTCAGCCGCTGCGTTTGACATGAGCGAGCTGAAGGCTGTCTGCGCTTGCCTGTCCCCGCAGCACCAGGGTCTGATCGCGAGGCAGAAATGCAACCTAGACTGCTCAGCTCTGCATGTCGCAGTTTGCATGCTGGTGTCTTAATCAGACATCTCATACAGCTGCACCTTGCTTCTCATCCACCGGAAACTGCCCCCTTTAAGCCACGTCACCGGAACTTTGGGATCGAAGCTCCAGTCACTGAGGAGAAGCCCTTCAGCCAGGCTGGAGATCAGCACAAGGAAGGAAGTGTGAGCCATCCATCTCCATTCCGTATCCAGGTCCAACCGGGTCCAGCTGTTCAACACTGACAGCTGTTGCCTTTGCAAACATCCCATCACAAACCCCGATAAACTATCCAACTCGAACCCAGGTCTGCCTGTGGGTAGCTCAGCCTCTAGCCGGTACCTGGCGCAGTGGCACTTATATAAACCCAATCGATTCAAGCCCCACTCTGAGGACAAAATATTGTGTTGCCACGATCACAAATACACAAGCTTTCTTTCTTGCATCCCAAACACGTATCCACCCAGCTATCCCAATAGGCGCACTGCAAGGGGAGCGCCGCTGAGGACCAGCGCATATTTGCCACAATGAAGGACATGAGAGGTGCGGGGGCTGCCACCTCGCATGCGTAAGGAACTAACTGCACGACCCGCCAGGAAACTTACCCCATTTCCAAAGAACTTGGCCCAGCGTGGCCAACCCCCATGGCACAAAACTTAGCCCACAACACCAAGATCTTAGCCCATTTACAAAATTGCATGGCACACCACATCAAAAATGCGTGTTTATGTTACGACTGCCTTGTCCGGCTAGCTCGCGCCTATGCGTTTTCACATTAGCTTCTACTTGTCTGAGCTAGGTTGAGAGTTTCAAAATTGCTCGAACCGTGTCCACAAACGCTTGGCACACCAACATTCACCAACATATGCTGCAATGTTGCTAAGTTCTCTGTTCATAGCCACCCCCCATGTGATTGTAAGCAGCAGCTTTCCAAAAACAACTGAAAACTAATGTGCTCAACAAGTACTTCCCCCATGGCACACCGCGTTTTACAAGCGGCTCAAACAATATAAGCCCAGGTAGATCTCCAACAGCCCCGTGGCTGGCTCGCGCCTATGCGTTTTCACATTGGCTTCTACTTGTCTGAGCTAGGTTGCGAGCTTCAAAACTGCTCGAACCGCGTCCACAAACGCATGGCGCACCAACATTCACCAACATATGATGCAATGTTATGTTGCTAAGCTCCTTGTTCATGCCCACCCCTATGCGTGTACTTCCCCCGTGGCACACCGCGTTTTACAAGCGGCTCAAACAAAATAAGGCCAGGTATATCCCCAACAGCCCCGTGGCTGGCTCGCGCCTATGCGTTTTCACATTAGCTTCTACTTGTCTGAGCTAGGTTGCGAGCTCAAAAACTGTTCGAGTCGTATCCACAAACGCTTGGCGCACCACAATTCATTAACATGCGCTGCAGTGTTGCTAAGTTCTTTGCTCATAGCCACCCCTGTGTGTTTATAAGCAACAATCTTCCAAAAACAGCTGACAACCAATGCGCTCAACAAGCACTTCTCCCATGGCGCACCGCGTTTTACAAGCGTTTCAAACAACATAAACCCGGGTGTACCCCCAACAGCGCCGGGGCTGGTTTGCGCCTATGCGTTTTCACATTGGCTGCTACTTGTCTGAGCTAGGTTGCGAGCTTAAAAACTGTTCGAATCGTGTCCACAAACGCATGCGCACCACTGTTGCTAAGTTCTTTGTTCATAGCCACCCTGTGCGTTTATAAGCAACAATCTTCCAAAAACAGCTGACAACCAATGCGCTCAGCAAGCACTTCCCCATGGCACACCGCGTTTTACAAGCTTTTCAACCAACATAAACCCGGGTGTACCCCCAACAGCGCCGGGGCTGGTTTGCGCCTATGCGCTTTCACATTAGCTGCTGCTTGTCTGAGATAGGTTGCGAGCTTAGAAACTGTTCGAATCATGTCCGCAAACGCTTGGCACACCACAATTCACCATTATTTTCTCTTTCGCTTGTGCTGTCTCTTCCCTTTTCCTTTTCTCTTTCTCTGTTGAGCCCCTGTCACGAAATCTGCTTCTGAAAGCTGTGCGCCTGCCACAAGACCTGCGTCTGGCCTTCTGGAAGTACTGCGCCTGTCACGAAATCCGCGCCTGACCTTGCAAAAGTGCTGCGCCTGCCACGCAACCTTGCGAAACATGTGTTCTAGCCAGCCAATTTAACGAGGTCTAAACAAGGTCTTAACGAGGTCTAAACGAGGTGCGAACGCAGGCTGTTCGGACACAATCCTTCATTGGGGCGTGGCGTGCCTTGGCGTGTGTGCATCAGTGTGTGTGGGTGAGAGCAAAGCACAACACAAGGAACCCGACTCCCGTGTGTTAGTTGACTGAACCATTTCATTCTGTGGCCAGAGGCAGTGTGCCATTGCGTTTTGTGACGGGAGTGGGCCTCAACATTCAGCAGCGCCCCTTTGCCAAACACTCCTCAAAGCATCCGGTCCCCCATGGCACACCAGACACTTGGCTTTGTGTACGATGGGGGGTAGCACTTGCGTCGCCAGCAACATCTAAGCCCGCAACTTCTATCACCTCGAACCCTACTGGCACACAGCTGAACAACCATGTGTTAGTTGACTGCACCTCATAATCTTGGCCAGAGGCAGTGTGCCATTGAGATTTGTGACGGGAGTGGGCCTCAACACTTCTATCAAATCAAATCCTACTGGCACACAGCTGAACAACAAGGAACCCTGCTCCCATGTGTCTAGCTGGCTTGACGCTCTCAACTGAACATTCAACAGCCCCCCCTCGCCAAGTGTCCGCTCCCCCACGGCACGGGTGGCACCTGCGTCGTCAGCAACATCTAAGCCTGTGACTTCTATTAAATCAAATCCTACTGGCACACAGCTGAACAACAAGGAGCCCAGCTCCCATGTGTCTAGCTAGCTTGACGCTCTCAATCTCTTGGCCAGAGGCAGTGTGCCAGTGCGTTTTGTGACGGGAAGTGCTCTTAACATTCAACAGTGTCCCCTCGCCAAATACTCTCAAAGTATCCGCTCCCCCATGGCACACCACAAATGGCTCAAGTTCTTTGTTCGCGGCTCAAGTTTCTCGAGGACCCAGTACATTATTGCTCATGGGAAGTTAGAATGCCTGCGCGGACCATCTTGTTCAAGGGGCAACCCTTCATGGCAAAAAAGGTCCGTTGCGCAGTGCGACCTCACCCGGGCAGCCGCACTCGAGTCCTGTCCACCAGCAAGTAGCCCGCAGCAGGCGGCAGGTTCACGCGCAAGGTTGCCTCTTGCCACAAATTTGGTGCTGGGACATCGGATTCTTGTAGCCAGGCTGGTTTCGATAAGCCTTGTTTCGCTTCTCAACACCAACATGTCAAGCCCATTCAGAAACAGCAAACACGGCCTGCTTCTGGAGGCTTCGCACAGGAGCCTTAGCCGCTCAGAGAGGCCATCCGTTGACAACCAGGCACAACTTTACGTTCGGGCGAGGGATGCATTCATACGTGGGTTCCTTCATGTGCCTTCAAAACAAAAGTGCCTTGAATGAAATGTTGGGCAAGCAATCGTTACAGAATAGTATATATCTATATACATATACAGGTACAAAAAATATACATGTACGCGTGTATGCATGTATTTATTTATGGTCAGAACGCCGCGCATGATCTATCGTCCCTTCCCCTACACCAAAAACACTGGTAAAAACCAGCCTGCGGAACTGAATTCTGGTTCCGAAAAGCATACGGGAAAAACATCAAGGAAACAAACAAAAGGAAGGATCCTTGGTTCAGCCCAGCCCCATCTGTTGTCGTTTGTGTTCTCGACGCTGTTTGTTTAAAACCCGACAAACCCCAAAAACAATGTTTCTGATTGATGGTGATAATTTGGGTTGTTTGTTTTTGTTGTTTGGTTTCAAATTCTGTTTTTTGGTTTTGCTTCTTGACCACCATCAAAACACCAGAAACATCTTGGACTTTTGGCTTTCTAGGGTTTTCAGCAAAGCCTCGAAAAACAAAACTCGAGAAAGCCAAAAAAAACAGGCTTCTCCCTTAAACTTTGGTTTGTTTGTTTTCTCTGTTTTTTGCTTTGTCGTTTTCCGGTAAAATTTGCAACCGCTGGAACTTTTAAAGGACCGGAGATGATGGGCCCCAACTGGCGGGCACAGCCCGGACCATTCCTTTCTGCCCACAAGAAACGCCGGAAGAGACCCTCACCCAGATGCACTTTTGGCGCATACACTACTTCAGCGCGTGGGAAAACACCTGTGAACCAGGACACCTGTCAATCACAGGACGCCGGCCTTTGCTCCATCACGCTCATCGTGGCATTGGCAGGGGCAGCATTTTGGACAGCACTTTGAACATGCGAGCTGGATCTCATAGCAAAGCGCAGCGCTTGACTAGATGTTGTTGCGCTCGCGCGGGCCCCCTGGTTTCGTGGCACGGGCAGCATTTTTGACATGCGACTGCAGATTTCGTGGCCACGCGCAGCACTTTGGACATGTGAGTGCTGGATTTCGTAGCACAGCGCAGCATTTGGAGAACTCCCCTTCAAACTGTGGGGCGTGTAGCTACCCTGCGCCGCATGGGCGGCAACATCGGACTCTGGAGCGGCAACGCCGTGGCCCACCTTTGGCATCCGTGTTGGGTTCTGCGCGCGACAGAAAGCCTGCCTGCGCTAAACAACCGAAATCAAAGGCGTTGCTGCTGCGAAGCAATTATTGAGCTTTTTCCTCCCTGGCAACGGCATGGACGGCTCTCTCGTCGCTCCTGCGACACTTCTGTCCTTTGCGTCGCCCCAACATCATGTAAGATGTCGTCTACAAGCAAATGCACAAAAAGGCCAGAAAAGCGTACAAACACTTACACATATGTACAGACTTTGACAGCCGGCTAAGACTTTTACATCTGAAAAACGGCTCCCATCTTAAGATCGTAAGCTCTTCTAAACCCAAGTGCAACTCATAAGTTGCAATAACCCCTGCGTGATTTTCGGGAGGACAACTTGGCAGTCCTTCTGCGCCACAGGCGCCCAATCCCTCTTCCTGATTGGGCCAGGCTCTTGGTCAATCTTGCGTTCACGCGGAAAAGCGCCAGCCAAGCACCTGAATCAGTTTCGCGCGCTCAGCCGTTGTAGGCCTGCAGCAGCCAAGGATGAATCCTGCGACGTTACGCTGCAGCCATCTTGCGTGCCCAAACCCTGGCCTTACCGCCCTTCTCTCGTTGGGTCGGCCTCATGACCAAGCCGTTCGCGTCTGACTACTCCGACAATTCCGCAAATTCTCCATCCTCTGTGCTTCCAAATGTGGCTTGCCACGATGGTTGGATGCCTCTGCCCCACCTCAGTTTCCACACCCCTGTGCGCAAATGGCGTCTCCGGCTCTGGAAGTTCTCCGCAGCTCTGCCAGCTTTCAGCCCAGCACGATTTGCTACGCGACGCAGAGAACACAAGCCGGTGTTCCCCACATCAATATCGTGCGGGGCTCTCTTACCTCGTTGTCCGGTCGCCGCTGCCACACTCACAAACACACTCACTCACTCACTCACTCACTCACTCACTCACTCACTCACTCACTCACTCACTCACTCACTCACTCACTCACTCACTCACTCACTCACTCTCTCTCCCTCTCACTCACTCACTCACTCACGCACTCACTCACGCACTCTCGCTGTCTCTCTCGCACCCGCTCACTCACTCACACACACACACACTTGCTCACCCCCACCCCCTCACTCACTCACTCACTCACTCACTCACTCACTCGCTCGCTCGCTCGCTCGCTCGCTCGCTCACTCGCTCACTCGCTCACTCGCTCACTCGCTCACTCGCTCACTCGCTCACTCGCTCACTCGCTCACTCGCTCACACGCTCACACGCTCACTCACTCCCCCCCTCCCTCGCTCACTCTCTCTCTCCCTTGCGCGTGCTGCAAAGTGCTGGATTTCGTGGCAGGGGCTGCATTTGCGAAGGTTTTCGGTGACTGGACGTAGTCACGGGCGCTTGTGCGGATTCCTGGTTTCGTCGCAGGGGCAACATTTTTCGACATGTGACTTGAGATTTCGCGGCAGGCGCAGCACATTCGACACGCGAGTGCTGGAATTCGTGGCAGCGCGTTTGAGACGCTTCTTTGGGGACTGGATGTTGTCGTGCTCGTGCGGGCCCCCTGCCTTCATGCAGGGGCAGCATTTTGGACATGTGACTGCAGCTTTTGTGGCAGACGCAGCACTCTCGACACACTCACTCACTCACTCACTCACTCACTCACTCACTCACTCACTCACTCACCTCACCTCACCTCACCTCACCTCGCCTCGCCTCGCCTCGCCTCGCCTCACCTCACCTCACCTCACCTCACCTCACCTCACCTCGCCTCACCTCACCTCACCTCACCTCGCCTCACTCACTCACTCACCCACTCACCTCACTCAGCTCACTCACACACTCACCTCACTCACCTCACTCACCTCACTCACCTCACTCCCCTCACTCACAAACACTCACTTCACTCACCTCACTCACCTCACTCGCTCAACTCACTCACTCACCTCACTCGCTCAACTCACTCACTCACTCACTCACTCACTCACTCACTCACTCACTCACTCACGCACGCACGCACTCACTCACTCACTCACTCACTCACTCACTCTCACTCACTCACTCACTCTCACTCACTCACTCACTCACTCACTCACTCACTCACTCACCTCGCCTCACCTCACCTCACCTCACCTCACCTCACTCACTCACTCACCCACTCACCTCACTCAGCTCACTCACACACTCACCTCACTCACTCAGTGATTATATTAAGAGTCTCAGATCCATGGGGTTTAGACCTTACCTCAATTTATCTCAAATTATCTCAAATTTATCTCACCTGGTCATAGCCCAGCCCGTCCTCTGCAAATCTTGCCCACTCCTTTTCCAAATGCAGGTCCATGTCTGTCCAGTCACTTCTGTAGTAATACGCATCTTCCACCATGCGTTGGATCAGAAGGGATTTCGGTTGATGATATATTCGGGACATCATTGATTGAAATTGGTGAAGCTGAAGGCAACGCGACAAACACACCGTTTGACATCATCACCGCCCCCTGATTGCTACGAGCCGACGCAATCAGGTTTAAGATCAGTAAAAACACAATGACCGACCATCATGCGTCAGCATTAGAACAAATATTTACAAAATGAAACGCAAAATCAACAACATTGCACGGCATTCATGAAGACACACATCATACAAATGACAAAAAATGCAGAAACAAATCCCAAACATGCAAGTTGCTTTCAACCTGACCTACATCTTCGAGATAATTCGAGATAATTCGAGATAATTCGAGATAGCCAAAAACCCCCCAAATCTAGACCCCATGGATCTAGTACTCATAAATTGGTTAGGGACTCACCTCACTCACCTCACTCACCTCACTCCCCTCACTCACAAACACTCACTTCACTCACCTCACTCACCTCACTCGCTCAACTCACTCACTCACTCACTCACTCACTCACTCACTCACTCACTCACGCACGCACTCACTCAGTCTCACTCACTCACTCGCTCTCACTCACACTCACTCACTCACTCACTCACTCACTCGCTCGCTCGCTCGCTCGCTCACTCACTCACTCACTCACTCACACTCAGGCGCAGCACTTTGGATATGCGAGCGCTGGATTCTGGGAAGCTTGCTCTGGATGTTGTCGCGCGCTGCGCTGGGCCCCTGCCTTCGTGGCAGGGGCAGCATTTTGGACATTTGAGTGCTGGTTTCGCAAGGGCAGCATTTGAGAACACTCTAAGGGGACTCGTCAGATAGTGCGCATGAAAATACGCACGACTCTCCGTGTCTTTCTGAATCTGGAGAGACTTTCGACCTTCATCCTTTGGCGAGCAGTTTCGGCTGGATGTAGTTGGCGGCAAAGCCAAATATATTGCGCCGGCAGACATTGGCGCAACAGAACCAGCACCAGAGCCGTCGCCATCACCGATATCGAAAATCGCAGGCTACTAGCCTTGCGACTGCGAACCTGCTACCAAGTCCAAGCCACCTACACAACAGGCCGGCAAAGTGCCTCTGACTGCCTTTTCTCTCTAGCGCTATTGATACTGAAGTCTTGGGCCATGAATGGCGCAAAATGCCACATTTATCCGACATGTCTTCCTAATCCATGCTTACAGTCCTTTCGCGCTCCAATCACAGCCTTTCGCGATGCGGGTGATTCAATTCACGGTAGACCCTTCTTGGTGCTCTCACTCTGGGCTGCAACTGGGAGCACTGTTCTCCAACACCCTTCCCACAGGCCCGCACCAGTCCCTGTGCTTTCCCAAGCAGTTCAAACCGAGAACTGTCATCTTGACAATTGACTTGTGACTTGGGAGTGCAGTCGCCGCAGCCCAAGTGCAACACTACGTCTCTGGAAGAAAAGTGCATGAGCGAATCGGGAAGGTGCAGCTGAGAAGCTGAACAGCCCAGACCTGGCAGAAGCAGCAGCTTGATCACACACACACACACACTCACCCCATGTAATTGATAGCTTTGCGCAAGCTGCATCCACGCGCTGCGGGCTCGTTTTTATGCAAGACAACCGTCTCCCTTTGGAAACCATATGGAACGCATATGTAGATCACTGCAGGCACAACTCAAATGTTCGCGGTTGCTTGCCTGCACCGACACTAGCTCGGCAAAACAATAATGGTCGAGAGACCACAGGGCGAAAAACCAACATTAAACTTAATTGTCCAGCTGGCAATTGTTCAACAGTAATTCAACAACCGAGCTTGAGTCAGTCTGTGCACAAAGCTGGCCTTGCTTTGGAGCAGCTGCTGTTTCGGTAATCATGTTCGATGAAGATGCATGTGTGTCTGTTTTGTCCACCTTCAACTATTCCAGCATTAAAGGGCGGGAACAAACTGCCAGACTGCAGCTTAGTTGGACTCTGCTGACAGAGACCGAAACCCTAGCCCTTGGCTGATCACATATGCGTTCGCTTTTGGCCTCATGCCCGCTTTGGCACCAACAGCAATTTACTTTTCTTGCGATGCGATTGTCATATAACAAAACGCGAACAACTAAGCGAGGGTCGTTCTGGGAAAAAGTTGCCGAACATGGTGCCGATCAAAGCTGGTGTAAGCGGTACGGGTCTCCAGGGTCTCCTGCCACCCTGGGGGCAGCGGCTAAGAATCATCTAGAGTCCGGGGCCAAAACTCCCCTGGACTGATGGTCAGGTTGATGACCCTCTTGTCCAGGATCACAGGCGCTTCAAAAATTGCGACCAGGAATTGTAGAGTCACCATAAATGGCGCGCCCAAGCGATGCACAGATATCTGAGCCTTGTTCGAGTTATTGGATTATCATTTTGGGAGCCCTTGCCATGTTGCAAGTTGTTGGCTCATGCTGCGTTTGTTGCTTCAGGTAATCCAGCTATTTGCCGAAACCAGTTTATTCATCGGCCGATTCACATATTGTTGGTTGCTGCCCAGTTTGAACATGGCGCACATGGGGGCTCTGTCCAGCTCTGTCCCATCATGACAGAGAACACGCACAGCAGCCATGAGAGGACAAGAGCAAAAGACACTTCACGGCCTTTGCTTTGCATCTGTGCATCCTCTCATCCAGATAGTCTGAAGCCTTCAAAGGTAGCTTGCCACAATGGCTCCTTGCCGGCGGATTGAGAAAGTGACTGCATCTTGGATCAGCATGACCTGCTTGATTCAAGCAGGGTCATACATCATGAAACTTAGCAAACAAGTGGGCACGAGCACGCCAAGGTAAACAACCTTCCAAGACACAGTAAACGACTTGTCACTCCGGGTTAGCTTCCTTGATGGTCTTCACAGCGATGTGGCCTCCATTGAAGCCACGGGTAGAGAAGAGATATTGGGTGAAAATTGGGCGTGCCTCAAAATGCTAAGCTCTCGTTTGGGTATGGGAAAAGGAAACCAGCTGATTGGGGGCCAAATGCTGAGACACACCCGTTGGGAGCAACATCCAGTAAACGGCCCGCAACATCCAGTTTCGCAGGCCCTGGGAAGGCAGTGATGGGCTGAGCCCTCGACAACTGAAACTAGTCACTGTCTTCCGTGAAAGCAATCCTGGCAGGTGGCAAAATCAGATCACGAGGAAGCGCATTGGACCTGAAAATTTCGCCCTCAGGGCTCGGATCGCCGTGGTCAAAATCCTGCGGGTGGCTTCAACAAGCGGAAACCTCATGAGAACGTTTATGGCCTAAGCAGTTCTTTTGACCATTGCAATTGCACGTAGGTGGGTAAAGCTGCACGGTATGGCACTCATGGTCTCTTTCACCACGTACAAAACAAGGCCTTTGAAGCCTATATCCACTGCTCCATTGACATGATGAAAGTGAGACCATCTTTTCGTCTGCTTTCTTAAGCCAGTGTAGACTTCCAGCAGCATAGCCAAAGTGCATTCTTCACTCAACTTGCCTCGCCAGGAAAGCGTTGCAACTTCCGAATTACCTGCTCAGATGCCACACAAGTTCTATGTAGTCATCTGCGGCTACAACCATCTTGACAACGTGGGTTCCCTCGAAAGCGCTTATGAAAATGGTCAAATAGTGCCAACAACAACAACAACAACAACAACAACAACAACAACAACAACAACAACAACAACAACAACAACAACAACAGTCCAGCCCAGATTAAGAGGTTTGCCACAAGACGGATCATATTCAATCAGGCAATGAGGTGTTCTTGCTCGTCTTCTAGGAGTTACCCTACATACAGCCCACTTAATGGACTTACTAACTCTCATTGTTCACCCCTTACTATCCAAGGGAGGAGTGGTGCGAATGAGGCTTGTTAGATGCTACATGCTAAACGGCTCGCTCAATGTGCATCATTGCATGTGCAAGCGTTGTCAACATAGAAGCATCGGCAATAATCCACAAACGTAAAGCTAAAGGAGCTGAGAGTGAAGCAACATGGTTCCAAAAAAATATATTTGTGGAACACACCTGTGACTGTTTTGTTTCTTGTGGTGGTCGCTGTTGATTCCAACCCTCGAGTCACATGACATCTCTACACATGTGTCACTTGGCTCAAAGACACGGTGTCTCATGCGTGACGACAAAGCTTGCACTAATCTTTCTTGCTTGCTGGCTGGCTGCCTGGCTGTATCTTACACATGCCAGACAAAGCTATACACAGGGCTATCTGCATGTGTGTTTATGTGTATATGTATATATTTGTATTGGGAGTACTCAATCAAGAATCCGAGCTGGTTTGTTGCAAGAATTAATGTGCTCTGATTCTCAGCGAGATACAGTTCACCAAGGAGCATCTTTTGTTCGACTCCTAGACTAAATGAGGACAAAAGAGAGAGGCTGTTTTGAAATCGGCTCAAGAGCACCCAACGAAGATGAAAGACTCTGATCTACGCAGGGAGCCGGCACCGCCCACAGGCCGGGACTTTCTTTTCGCTAGGAGTGGCTTTTCGTTCGAAGTGTGGGCACCTTGACTGTGATCAAGTGGGGAGGGGGTGACCAAGTGGGGAGGGCGTGTGGAGAGTCACATCCCTAGAATCTCCGGTCTCAGTCTCCCCGTCATCTGTTGCCACCGCAGGACAGGCCTGAGCCCCATGCTGCGTTGCAGGCTTGCAAGCCGCTTAAATTCTTGCGGCAAGTATAAAGTGGGCTTTAGACGGTTTTAGAGCTTTATCAGGTTTTTGGTTCGTCTTGGGCTAGCTGGGGCGTGACCACGCTTGGCATTAGTTTCTGTCTTGCTTAGTTTAGGGTTGAACTTGGGTAAACTTGGGGGTGCCTTTGGGCTTGTGTCAGAGTTTCAGCAGTGTTTACTGTTGCTGAAGGGCGGTGTTCATGGTATTTTGGCTGGTTTGGCAACAGTAAGCACTGCTAAAACCAACCCCAAAAGCTGACACAAGCCAACCCAAAAACGGTGGTCCAAAATCCAACCCTGATAAAGCTCTAAAGCCGTCCAAAGTCCACCCTATTCCTGCCACAAGAACTTTCGCGGCTTGAACCGCAACGAAGCATGGTGCTCAGGCCTGTCTGGCTGTGGCAACAAATCAGGGGGTGACTGAGCCCGGTGATGCTAGGAATGTTGACCCACCCCTGCCACCCAACCCACCAACATGCCAACCCAACCAACCCAACCCAACCCAACCCAAACCCAACCCAACCCAACCCAACCCAACCAACCAACCAGTCTTGGAGCCCTTGCTGAGCTGCGAGCCACTCCTAGCCAAAAAAACATTGCCTCCTGCACCAGGCATGCTCCCTACAAAACGGTTCGTCGCCCACTTCACAACCAGAAGGTCTGCTTAACGCTCTCTTTTGGGAGCTGTGCCTCAGACACCTCTGACTCCTGCCTCCAGACCTCGCTCTGCATCCTGCGCGAATGAAAGCCCGAAATATCAGTTTCAGAATGGCTTCCTAGTTCGGTGGAAAAGGGGGCCAGGATTTTGTTTGTTGAAAGCAACTTTGCCCCACTCGCCTTCGCTTTCGTCTTCGTGCATCCTGCTGCAATTGACGTCTGCGCGCCTTGGCCTCCTCTGCACTGCATACATGACAGTGTAGGCAAGCCTCCCCCTTGAAGCACCCAGCCGGCTTCAAGGCGTACGCAATGCAAGGAAAGCATTGGCCCGTTGAATGCAAATACTGTTGGCGGCTCTGCTGGGACTGAATGAAGCCAGGTTCCACTCCGCAGCTGTGAACTCTTCCCGGCGCCTGTGGTCCTGCCCGACTGACTGCATCGGAACCAGCGCTGGGCTCTGGCGTAGAAGCCAGCATCTTTGCCTGACCATGTGCCTGCATTTTGACAACGGCGAAACGCTTTTGAGCAGGGCGGCTGAGCAAAATGCGGATCAAAGATGCACCAAACACCCGACTATGACCAATCTGTTGGCAGTGCTCAGGCAATCATCGACCAGCTTTGTCGTGGGATTTGGACTTGGATAGGCCCGGGTTGAGTCCTGTTTTGGGGACTGCCGTGCTTGCCCAACCTGGCAGCAAATCCAGCTGCGCCGTCACCTGCACCTGGCGACAAATACAACACCAACTCAATTCATGCTGTCCATGCTCAACGTTCGGAATGGGGTACCGCTCTATAAACAAGCGCCACACGAGCGTCCAATTCCGCCGCCCGCTCACGCCTGAGAACCTGAGGATAATTGACCCGGCGGCAGGCTCAAGAAGACACCTGACAGATGCAAAAACGCTTCGCCGTGCCAGCAAAAGGGAGATGAAAACCCGGAGAAATTTGGGAGAAAGTGCAATGCCGGGATGGTGCCACTGAGCTCCCTTCCACTGGCTCCTAGCATGTCTCATGGCCTCCAACTGAAGGCGTCAATGGCTCAGCGACCACTTGTGCTCCGCTGCGCGTCTCGGCCTGCGAAGAGCATCTTTAAGCCAAATATATGACAGGCACGGGGTTCTCTCCCGTTCGACCAGAATGTTTGCGCCTGCACTGACCAAGTGACCTCAGAGAGCCGGTCCAGGAATGTCTTTGTCCAGCTTAAAACAATCCGTCTCGAGACTCAGGAGCGGACAAGCGGCGTAAACTCCGCAAGGGCAGCTTGCAGCTGCGACTGCGTGAACTCCGTGTCGTTAGTCAACCTTCAATCAGCTCGCAGAAAAAACAGCCAGCGTACCCAAGAAGACGTTGTTCCGTGCGCTCTCACCCATCGAGAACTACGCAGTGCCACGAAAAATGCCTCTACCATGTGTCCCAAAAAATATCCTTGCTCCCTCTCTCTGGCCATCCGAGCACGCTGCGCCAGCACTGCGCCCAGGACAGTGGTGCTGTTCTCCGGCTCAATCTGCCAAGTTGCGGACCCATCAAACCGACATGCAAAAATGCATCTCGGGCTTTGTGGATCCAGAGCTCACGCCGCACAAAAAGGCTTACAGAGCTTGCACACGTGCACATGTGCACCCACGCACACACGCACAGATGCACACACGCACAAACGCACATACATACATTATATATATATATACACACACACACACACACACCACGTGCGCCCATGCACGCACAAACACAGGCACGATCGCGCGCGCGCACGCAAAAGGTAAACGGCCAGAGCGTCTGCTCCCAACCAGCCGTATTGCAGAAAGTCAGCACGAAGTTGATTCCCAGAGAGGTCCTAGCAGCTGACTGTCTTCCTGTGTGCAGCAGAGATGAGGCGACTTAGGCAAAATGCTCGTGAACACCGTCTAAAGTTGGGACCAAGCTTTCACACAACTCTGGCAGTGAAGCTTCTAGAGATTGCTCGGACGTAGGGCGTACTACTTTGGAAAAGCCATCTGAGTCAGCAAACTTGACATGTCGGACAGAACCCAAAGAGACAATCAACTGCACAGGGCTGTTCTTCCAAACGCTAAGACGTTTTTCCCTTGTAGTCTTCCGGTCAGGACCCGTTCGTGTGTGGCACAAGCATCTCAAACAACTGCTTGCAGGATCAGAAGCCGGAGGAAGCGGCATCACTGGGGCAACAAGCAAGCTACTGTCGCTCCGTGCTGTGGTAATTTTCAATCAAGCAGAGCTTATCAGGATACAATCGTTCGGCAAACAACTTAAGGTGTTTTGGGCGGCCGCAATGGGTTGGGTTGGATACTAGGCAAAAGATCTGATCACTGCAAGCTACGCAGAGCTCCTGCAAGACCTCTAAGCGCTGTAAGGCCCAGGGTCTGCTTTCATCTGCCTGAAGGCTCAAGCATGCGCACTGCGACCCATCAAACACCTGCGGCCATTGACGTGCCCGGTGGGCCTGCAGCGGTGGGCCCTGCGGCGCCAGGCCCAACTCCGGCGCCAGGCCCACGAGCCGCAGCTCAGCGCGCGCCAACGCAGCCTGCCATCCGGAGCACGTTCTGTTTATAATCTTTCCGCGCGAAAAAGACACTGGCACCTGGCCCCCAAAAGACACGCGAGCCAGCCAAGCACGCTGGAAATTAAGCCGCTTCTCAGCATTATCTTGTCATCCCTGTCGCATCCTAGATGGAGCAACAAGGGCTCCGCAAGTAGATAATATAGAGCTACTTGTCTTCGAACAATCCCTAGCCAAAGAGTTTGCTTTACTCCGCTACCCGGCAACACAGCAAAAGAACTGGCGCCAGAGCAAAGAAACTCCAGGTTCAGTCTCTAGGAGGCTGTTCAGAAGCTTCGGACTGTCACAGCCTGGCCTGTGCTGCGGGACAGGCTTACTGTCTTAATGTCAGCTCTCTGTGGGCCGACGGCCACCCCGAAAATCTCCCGAAACCTGTCGGCAAGCCATAAAGAAGGGAAGGATCCGAGATAGAATGCACGACAGCCGCGAGCACGGCAGGAGAATTTTGAAGGCACCCCCAGCATCGCCAATGCCTCAGCAGTAAAGCTCTTGCGCACCCTGCTGAACATCCTCAGCATCGCCAGCCCCTGGAACAAAGGCTCCGCGAGACCATCAAGCTCAGCCGCTCAGCGGCATCAAAACTCATCGCATGGCAAATTGCGAAACTACACTTTTCCACGCCGACGTGAGTCGGTGTGTTTCAGAACACCGGCAGGGCATATGTGTGGGGAATCAACCTGCTTGATCCTGCCAGTATTTCTTGCCTGCGTCCCAAGACTTGCATCAACTGAACAGGCTGCCAGGCCTGAAGTCGACTCAAATTCAGTTTCAAAAGGAGGAAATCTGACACTTGAGTCGACTGCAGAAGCCAAGAGATGAGGCAGGGCTCCAGTGCTGAGAGTTTGACTGGCATGATGCAGAAGGACTACAAAGTGACAAACGCGAACAGGGCAGGAGGATTCTGGGGAAGGAAGATGACTGCGGAGTCCCCTTGTAGGACTGCACAGGCTAAGGCACCCATATCTTTTGTGTTTATGAATTCCTTATATAGATTTATGTGTATGTGCTGTGTTTGTGCTTAGATCTACCTAGTGGCAGTAGTAGTAGCAGCAGCAGCAGCAGCAGTTTTAGTAGTAGTAGCCATGGTAGTAGTAGTTGTTGTTGTAGTAGTAGCAGTAGTAGAAGTAGTAGTAAGTAGTAGTAGTAGTAGTAGTAGTAGTAGTAGTAGTAGTAGTAGTAGTAGTAGTAGTAGTAGTAGTAGTAGTAGTAGTAGTAGTAGTAGTAGTAGTAGTAGTAGTAGTAGTAGTAGTAGTAGTAGTAGTAGTAGTAGTAGTAGTAGTAGTAGTAGTAGTAGTAGTAGTAGTAGTAGTAGTAGTAGTAGTAGTAGTAGTAGTAGTAGTAGTAGTAGTAGTAGTAGTAGTAGTACTAGTAGTAGTAGTAGTAGTAGTAGTAGTAGTAGTAGGTAGTAGAAGTAGTAGTAGTAGTAGTAGTAGTAGTAGATGGAGTAGCAGTAGTTATTAGTAGTAGTAGTAGTGGTAGTAGTAGTAGCAGTAGTAGTAGTAGTAGTAGGAGTAGGAGTAGTAGTTAGTAGTAATAGTAGTAGTAGTAGGAGGAGTAGTAGTAGCTAGTAGTAATAGTAGTAGTAAGGTTTACTGTTGTTGTTGGTGGTGGTGGTGTAGTAGTAGTAGTAGTAGTAGTAGTAGCAGCTGCAGAAGTAGTAGTAGTAGTAGTAGTAGTAGTAGTAGTAGTAGTAGTAGTAGTAGTAGTAGTGGTAGTGGTAGTAGTAGTAGTAGTAGTATGGTTGCTATTCCTGTCAATATTACTTATAGTTATTATCTAATTATTATTATAAGTATTATGACTATTATAATTAGCATTTGTGCTATTATTATTACTATCATGCTTATTAACATTGTCCTCGTCATGACCAATATTAGTCATTCTCTTGAAAAAATGTCCCAAGCCATGCACCTTTTGGTCAGGCAAACAGCTGATACAGCAGATTGGATGATGAGTGCTGCCGCTTCACAGCATTTGCAGCATTCGCAGCATTTGCAGCATTCGGAGCATTCGGAGCATTCGGAGCATTCGGAGCATTCGGAGCATTCGGAGCATTCGGAGCATTCGGAGCATGGAGTACGACATGCACAACAGCGTCTTCGTGTAGCAAGTGACACCCACAGGTCTGCAGTCGGTCTACAGGCAAATCGAGGCCCCATGCCTTGCCGTCACAGGCTCTCCTCTGATAGCCCCTGCCTCTGTCACATTCAGCCGCCTCGCTGGCCTGCACCGAGTGGTAAGCAAAACCGCTATGCGCACTGGGAGATAACAAAAGGCACGGCCAAAACAAATGTTCAAATTTATGTTATTTACACATGCAATACATTGGAGCAGCCCTCATTGAGAAGCCCCAAGTGTTTGTCCAACGCAAACCTGACCGCTGCTGCCACGCTGGATGCTTGGCTTTCGTATTGCAGTACGTCCATGGCAGAGAAGGGCCCAGCGAGCCTTTCCGACAGGGAGATGCCAGTCGCCACATCCACAACATGCACCCGGAAGGTGTAGTACCCACAGACCTGTCTGCCGAGCACCCTCCACACCAGGAAAAGCTAACAGTCTGCTCAAGCCTGTTCATAGCTGGGCATGCCCAAGCTCATCTCCAGAAGAGAAAGATTGGTAGATGCCTCGAGCGCCGCCACGTGTCGGGCAATGCGGTAGATTAGCGTGCTACTGGCCACTCAGCTGCAGACATTGATACAAGCCACTGCGAGGACATCTGCAAAGCCTGCACGCAGATGCATCCGCGGATACCCTCTGCAATGGGTTTCATAGCGCAGCGGCATGGTGTGCTTCCGGATGTTTTATATTCATTTTGAATGATCAAACGTCGGAAGGATGCAAAAGGTTAAGATGCCAGACCGCGCAAAGGCCGACATCTGCCGGAACCTTGTTTCGGGGCAGGATTGAGCGATTTGTGAGATGCTACCCGTTCCCTCCTGCTGCGAGAGTTCCAGGCGGAACAAAGATCTGGCCCGACACGCTGCGGTTTCCCCAGCGGTCCTGGGCTTCGAAAAGCATCAGCGGCCCCATCCCGTGCTTCATTTCAAGTCCTCCCCCAGCGGCTGCGCGACCGAGGGTGTGCGGAGGGTGGCGCGCTCCTGAAGGCCAACGGAATGCTCAACAATGCGAAATTTGAGCCACAAGGTGGTCTTTTGTTTGGCCCATTTTGTTTTGAGGTTTTTTCCTGGGCAGCTGCGATCTCCCTTGGTTCTGCTGTGGTTTGACTCGCTTTGCACCAGCGCTGTCAACATCCCCGGCATCGTTTTAACGCGGCAGCATCCTTTTCAACATCCTCAGCAACACGAGTTGGCTTTGTTGGGCTGGGTTTAGGGGCTGGTTTGGGGTGGGTTTAGAGTTGGTTTGGGCTGTGGTTGTGTTTAGGTGGGCTTAGAGTGGTTTAGGGTAGGTTCAGAATGGCTTAGGGATGGTGTAGTGTTGGTTTGGCTTGTTTGGGGGAGGTGGGGGCGGGAATTGCTTTGGGTTTGTTAAGGGTTGGTGTAGGGTGGGTTTAGTTTAGGTTTAATGCTGGTTTAGGGGGGGTTGGGGATTGGTTTTGGGGTTGCTTTAGGGTGGGTTTATGGTATAGGGTTTGCTTAGGGGGGTGGTTTAAGGTGGGCTTAATAGAGATGGTTTTGTGCGTGTTCAGTGCTGACTTAGGGTTGGTTTCGGGTGGGGTTAGGGTGGGTTTCAGGATTGGTGGGTTGGTTTAGGGTATGTTTAGAGTTGGTTTAGGGATAGACTATTACTGGTTTAGAGTAGGTTTGTTTAGGGCTTTCTTTAGGGAGTCTTGCTGGTTTAGTGTCTTTAGGGTTGGCTTAGGTTTGGTTTTAAGGTTGGTTGTCGTCTTAACTCAACCAAAAATCCTTTGGGGAGACCAGACGCCACCAACCAAAAATCCAAAGATGCCAAAAGCCGGTGATGCTGGGGTGTTACTGGTGATGCCGAGGATGCGGAAAGCCGAAGCCACAAAGGCCACAAAAAGTAAATCCAAAAATCAAAAACAAAAAAAACAGAAAGCCAAAAGCCAAATAGCCCAGACTCCAAGAAGTCAAAGGCCAAAAGCCAAGAAGCTAAGAAGCTAGGAAACCAGACAAGGTAAAATGCAGCAAAAAGTCCCAAAGAAAAACGGGGATTAAAGAAATAGCCCTGCCTTTTGTTTTAACACATACCAACTTTCTGGGCCACATGCGCATGGCTCCCTGGCCCGATTCGCCCGGCACCTGCCCCACGTTGCGCATTGAGGCGTCGTATGCCCAGCCGGCTCGCCTGTGTCTGGCAAGTGAATCCAAGCACTGGAAAAAAAAGCCTTGGGCTCCTGGCACCATTGGCTCCTGCGCGACCGAACTATTGTCAGCACGGCCAGCCCAACCAAGGCATCACGCCCAAACCTCAACGGAGAGGTCATGTGATGCTTTTGGAACCTGGCAATCTGGCAAGCTTCGACTGCCGACTGCCAGCGTGGCTCCAAGAAAGCCAACTTCATTCGGCCCGAACCAACTGTCCCTCTTGCGCGCTACATTCTGCCTCCCGCGCCAAGAAGGTGGTTGGCAAAGGAGCATCGCCAGCCAGGCAGCCCTGAGAAGTGTTCAAAGGGAATCAGAACAGAAACCTTCAGGGAGGACATGTAACAACATCTCACAAATGAGGTTCATATCATGCCACCTGCGTAGGCCGTTTGGCAAGCTGCCGCCACGCCTTTGGAATGTCTGCTGTCGTCTCCAGGTTCAGCCTCGTTCCAAAACCCTCAAGCTGCCTTCTTTGGCGTATTGTTGTGACCACTTGCTTTTCAAACACGCTCACCTTCATGTCTGGGCTACTGGCCACCGGCCGTACTTTGGAATGACGTACCGAGTGGACGGAGCCTCAGCTGGATCAACGCCAGAATTGAAGGGCCTCCGATCCATCTTGGAAGGTCCGCAAGAGCATCCCTCCAAATCAGTCGGGAAGCAACCGGCGCCACACTCGGAACCGGGAAGTCGTTCACCTGTCGAGCATTCAGCTGCTTGATGCACGGCCAGCTCAGCTCCGCCTCCAGGTGGTGGCAGGCCACGCCACTGAGCCCAAGCAAGTTCTGCTGCGTCAGGCAGATCCGGTACAAATAGTTGACCTCAGCTGCGAGGGCCCAAGCTGTCTCATGGATCGTTGGCTAAGCACTCAGCCCGCAAGCTACGGTCAAACTCCAGGTCAAGCAGGCCTTGGAGAAATCAATCCCTGAGCTTGCTTTCTTGCTTTCAGCCACATTCTCAAGGAGGCCTTTGAGAGTGCTTCCATGTCTTCCAGACAATCAGGCCGCTGGCTCAGGACTGCCCCTTGCCGTGGAAAGGTCACCTGACTCCACAGATTTGATTGGAAGCAAAGGCCTTTGGACATGCATGTCACTCTAACGAGAATCAGCCAAACAGCTGTATTGATTTGCCTGGTGCAGACAACGCTTGCTTGTGTGTTTGGATTTAGGGAAGCAACATCTTGTGTCAACGGGGGGTTGCTGGACTTTCCAAACCTTTGCTTCTTCGAATCGCAAAAACATGTGCTTTCCGTTGCTTTTGCGGCTAGGCGGCATGAACATACTGTCTCGCCTGGTGAGTTGCACACCGGGTGACCCAACATGTTGGATATTTGCAGAAAGATTGAAAGCAAACCAACCATAAACTTAGGAGTGACCACTTATTTCCGTACTGTTGCAGATATTATCAGGCTGGCAAATCCTGAGCAACCACCGCCCTTTCCGGCCTCCGTGCTTTGGGCTTGCGATGCAATGCCCGTCCGGATACGCTGCACTTCTTTGTCATCCCAAGTGCCGTTCTTGATGTTGAAAGCTGCCACCACGTCCCAGCCTTGTCAAAAACAAGAAAAAAATGTGCAAGTGGCATTGCCACAAGCAACATGTTTCGGGATTCTCGGCAAGCAAAGTCACACCACTGATTTGATCACACGCACCACCCTGCCCTTATGGTCCAGTCGTTACACATCCCCACGTTCTGAAACCTTGGAATCCATCTTGAGCTCCGGGCGATTGGGCAAAGGCATACGTCCCGCCAAGCCCTGGCTGTGCTCGGAGCTGAGAGTCGTAGAGTCAGCGCACGAGGGGACCTTGGAACTCGGGTTCCAACGCGATCCAAGAAAATTCAAAGAGCGTCGGAAATGCGAAGACCGTGGAAAACGTCCTTGAGCTCCAAGGTGGTCAAGCCTTCAGCTTGGGAAGCTGGGACTTGGGCCATTTGCGGCCCGGTGATGACGGGCCTTGGACAATGGAAGCACGCACCTGTGTGTGTGTGTGTGTGTGTGTGTGTGTGTGTGTGTGTGTGTGTGTGTGTGTGTGTGTGTGTGTGTGTGTGTGTGTGTGTGTGTGTGTGTGTGTGTGTGTGTGTGTGTGTGTGTGTGTGTGTGTGTGTGTGTGTGTGTGTGTGTGTGTGTGTGTGTGTGTGTGTGTGTGTGTGTGTGTGTGTGTGTGTGTGTGTGTGTGTGTGTGTGTGTGTGTGTGTGTGTGTGTGTGTGTGTGTGTGTGTGTGTGTGTGTGTGTGTGTGTGTGTGTGTGTGTGTGTGTGTGTGTGTGTGTGTGTGTGTGTGTGTGTGTGTGTGTGTGTGTGTGTGTGTGTGTGTGTGTGTGTGTGTGTGTGTGTGTGTGTGTGTGTGTGTGTGTGTGTGTGTGTGTGTGTGTGTGTGTGTGTGTGTGTGTGTGTGTGTGTGTGTGTGTGTGTGTGTGTGTGTGTGTGTGTGTGTGTGTGTGTGTGTGTGTGTGTGTGTGTGTGTGTGTGTGTGTGTGTGTGTGTGTGTGTGTGTGTGTGTGTGTGTGTGTGTGTGTGTGTGTGTGTGTGTGTGTGTGTGTGTGTGTGTGTGTGTGTGTGTGTGTGTGTGTGTGTGTGTGTGTGTGTGTGTGTGTGTGTGTGTGTGTGTGTGTGTGTGTGTGTGTGTGTGTGTGTGTGTGTGTGTGTGTGTGTGTGTGTGTGTGTGTGTGTGTGTGTGTGTGTGTGTGTGTGTGTGTGTGTGTGTGTGTGTGTGTGTGTGTGTGTGTGTGTGTGTGTGTGTGTGTGTGTGTGTGTGTGTGTGTGTGTGTGTGTGTGTGTGTGTGTGTGTGTGTGTGTGTGTGTGTGTGTGTGTGTGTGTGTGTGTGTGTGTGTGTGTGTGTGTGTGTGTGTGTGTGTGTGTGTGTGTGTGTGTGTGTGTGTGTGTGTGTGTGTGTGTGTGTGTGTGTGTGTGTGTGTGTGTGTGTGTGTGTGTGTGTGTGTGTGTGTGTGTGTGTGTGTGTGTGTGTTCGTGTGTCTTTCTAATGATGCGGCAGAACGTCGCAAAGCAGTTCCTGCTGCTGATTGACTTGTTGCTAATTGAAATGATAATATTACCGTCGACAGCAGTTCTGCAACTGCTTGAAGACTCTTAAGGTCAAGGTCTGCGCTTCTCCCATCCATCATCTTGTTGAATTGGTGCTGCTGAGTGACTGCGGCCACAGAACAGGGGCGATGAAACCACCAGGGACATCTGCCTTGAGCTCCTCGGCATTCAAGTGACATGTATGAGAGCTACACTTGTCAGCTGCCTTGATACCGTAAGTGCCTCCTGTATGTTATTGGCTTCTGTTTCTGTCCATGCCTCATTTAAGTCAAATCATTGCAGAAGTCTTCGCAGCTCGTTGCGTCCTGAGAGGGAGAAGCTTCCTGAGTAAAGATGTAGCGGCGGAGCACCCCAGCCTGGCGGCTTTCCCAAAAGCTGGAAGGGCTCAGGTCGTTCCCCAAAGCAACGAACACTTGGATTTGCCTGTCTCACCCTGTTCGCTTGTCTTCTCGGTGCAATAGGTTGCTCCTGCCTTGAGGACCACTGAGCTTCCAGGCGCAAGACCTGAACACATTGCGAATCAGTTCGCGTCCGAACCCGTCGTTTTCAAACCCGACCGAATGCAAATCCCTCAAGCTGCGCGCCTGGGCTGCCCCCCAACGCCACAGCCGCGGTGCTCCGTGACTCCCACCAGCAGCTGGGCTGTGTGCCCAAAAGCCTCACCCCGGAATCGATTCCAGCCAATTAGAACCTGACACAGCGGTGATTCATTTGTGGGAATTTGCAGGTCCAAACGTAGGACACACCGTCCCGCAGGCTGTTGAATATGGGACGGGATCGCTCTTTGCAAGCTTGTCGGGTTGTGCTTGTCAAAGCGACAGTCATTGTCAACTGACAGGAAAGCATGGTGAGTAACCCTTTCCCAAATGAAACTCTGGGTGTGCCCAACGTCATCCGTCATCCCCTTACAAAACATGCCCGCAAACACAGACCGCTCGTGTCCGTCACTCAGGACCGGTCAGCAGCGTGGACTCAGCCAGCAGGACGTTACAGGGAAAGGAGGCAGCTGCCAAAGCCACACCGCCCACATACTCCTCGACAGGCACATGTGGCACATGGCAGAAATGCCAACCATTGGAACGAGGAAACTTCCAAGGCTTGTGAAGTGCTTTTTTCCGCCTCCGAGCCAAGCCAGGTTCGTTCTCTTCAAACTTGTGGAAGAGACAACCCAAGGGATGGGGGGTTTGAATGATGCTATGGAAGATATTCGAGGTTAAAATGTTAACGGATGTCTATAGCTAGTCGCTCGCCGGTCAAAACATTGAATTAGAGATTGAAAGGCCTGCCTCCGCCACTGTAAAAGACATAACGTAGACAACCAATTGAGGATTCTGACGCTAAAGAGCGCCAAGCTCATCTAATGGCCTACTAGACCAAAGAGAAGCCATGGGCATCTGAGACTCGATGTCATTGGGCCCTCGGGGCCATGGTCTGGGTAGGTGCCAAATGCAAAACCTCCTTCATTCCCTTATGCTCCAGGTAGTTCTTGATTGCCTCCATGTCCTGCGTGAACTGCTTCTGCTTGAAAACTGGGATCTTGTTCACTCGCATACCAACCTGTACCCTCTTGGTTCGCATCTTCGGCACCTTGTACTGCCCACATAAGCCACTCTCAATCGTCTCTACCCACTCTTCTTGGTCTGCATATTCTGCAATTTATTGTTCTTCATAGTAGTCGACTTGCTGAGCTGCGTCGAAAGATGCCACCGCTACGGCCAAGGCAACGTCGCAGACGTCTTCATCGCAGCTCTGCCTCACAATGGCCCGGTAGGAGTATGCATTGCCCGTTTTGTCCACATCGAAATGATCGAAATGACCCTGGCATTTCTTGGAACCGTCCAGCTCAATCGCAATTGTTTGGCCAACTTGTTGCGGCAGTCCCCTGACAATCAGACCCTTTTCGACCTTCTCCTTTAAAGTGTGTTTTGGCACCACCATGCGGAGAACGGCCTTGGACTCCTTCATGCCAACCATCTGCCAACGACCTCCGCGGCCTTGAGGGTCATCTCAAAGTTCAGCGCCTTGTGCTGGGCGTATTCGATCAATTGCTGCTCTGATGACGGTTGGGGCATCAGGAGTTTTGCCAGGTGCTACTCCATAACTGCCAGGAGTCCGGAGAAGCTCCTAACATCAATGCGGTCGCCGCAAACCGCAGCAAGCACAACAAACTGCGTAGTTCGACACCAAAACCCAAGGAACATCACGCGCTTGCGATAGTATGACTTGAACCGGCCAATATTGGGCAATGAACTTGAGCCAAAGGCTTGTGAAGTGTCTGTAGGTGTCTGAGTGTCTGCAGCATCTTGCTTGCGCGGAAGCGTTGTGTCATTCCATTTATCCCTCTCCTCTCCAGGAAGCGGAGCCTACACAGATCTGCAAGCTGCATGGCTCGACGTTCTGGCGTTTCAATCCTCTTCCGTGGCTACCTAGCTACTTAGGTAGCCACGCATCCCTAAGTCTGCACCTGCGCGTCACATGCGTACCGCAGCCGAGGTGCGACTTTGGTATCGAAGTTCAGCTTCAACGTCACCAGAGCCTCGCCAAAGTAGGCCCCCACCAGGCGCGGCGGCGTGGTGGGTACCTCGTGCGGGTGCTGCGGCGCAGCGGCGGCGAAAACAACACGCACTCGGATCTGCATTGCGCATTTTGAACTGACTGTGCAGCCGGGCGCAAATGGAGGCATCCGGCCCTCTGACTGGCTGCACAGCCGCCGGCACCTGTTGCACGTCTAACCCCGGCAAACTGTTGAGTAAGTCATGTGCCATGCGGTTTTAGCCATTTTGTCCGACGCTTCCGTCCACGTGTGCGGGCAGAATGCCAACAACCTACTCACTGCTCACCAGACCTGTGAGAGCTCGGACGCCCCGAGAAGGAAGCACTGGAAGAGCGGCTCAACCTCGATCGACGCTTTGAGTGTGCATTGATATGTGATGAATCTATTCTCGCCTGGTACGACATGGGGCATGAATCATGCGCGGTAGCTGCCACACTCTTACTCAACAGGTTGGGGAACACATTGCATCCATGGTTGCCTCTTGTGTGGCAAGTCTCAAGAAGTCGTGTGCAGATTGAGAGATGCATGCCTGGCAGGCTGCCTTGAAAGGCGGACAATGAAACTGGTCAGGCATCCCATCTTACTGCTTGTACTACAAATATGTCAAATGCGGCATTGTCCAATATGTGCTCCTCTTAAAAAGCCAAAACCTGGTTTCTCACAAAAGTGAGGCCTGCTGTCATTGCTTCTGCGCATGCCACAATTTCAATAACCTGCGTTTGCCACTCCCGTCTTATAGAGATCAACCTGCCACCGTTGAACTGAGGGCAAAGCTTGGCAGTCGGCTGTGCACCCATCGTCGCCGCGCAGGTTGCCATCATCACATGCCTGACAGGGAGTCAGTCGCAGCTGGCTGGCCAAGTGCCCACCGCCCTTCCCCTGTCCTTTTGGCGCCCAATCACAGCTTGATTGCATGGTGATACGGGCAAAATGATCTCGGCTCCCTCACTTGTCGGTGAAACCTGATCCCACCTCCAAGCCCGCAATGACCAGGCCGTCGCCACAAACGGGCGCACAAGAGTCCCCTGGCGAGGACGGCACACGGCAGTGCACACCGACCCAGGCGCCGGCCTGGCCCTGTGCGAGGATCCAAATGCTGCGGACCCTGCGTGCAAGTCCAGCCTCAGAGCAGCCAAAGCGATGAGGACGACGAGTGAGTTTTCACTTCTCAGGGTCCGGCCAGGCTCGACCTCGCAACTCGGGCTACAACCATCTCCCGTGACAGTGTTGCCGTCGTCGCCTGAGCACTGAGTGTCTGGACTTGCGGCTTGTTTTTCTCACAAAGGGAGAAGTGCACCAAAAGGCATGCGAAAAAAGTCAACTTGGTAAGTGATGGGCATTGCTCGGAAGCACTGCGGCGGAAATCTCCGCAAACCTTCGTCGTCCAGCTCACTTGTTTTGGGCTCAAACAAGCAACTTTGACCACAGCTTGGATAGGATCCAATCTGACTTCCCTTTGGGGACCAAACACCACTTGGACCCATGCAGTTCACTCAACAACCATGATCAAGCAAGCACAATTGGAGAACATGCTCAGGTAGCCACAGCCGCTGGCAACCTCCGACATTTTGAACAAGTCCTCGGACATGCAGCTGCTCAAAGCAATGCCGAGAAGATCTCTTCAGTGGCCCAGAAGAATTCCACGCGCTGAGCTCTGGGCGCAGACTCTGAGCCTGCGCAAGTCCGCAAGTCGATGGCGCGACATCCCGTACATCTTATGCCTGTTGCCTCTCACTGCCTGTGGCCTTGCCATTTGTGACAGCACGCCTTCGGCGATCCCGTCATCGCATTCCTGCAACTTCTCTAGTTGACCAGTGAAATGTGCGACTTCGCTCACAATCATGCTGATAAGCTTCCTCGTTGTCATTCACGATACCATCTCCGCAGCTGTTGGTACATTGTGACGGACTTCCTGCCATGTGAGGTCATGCCAGTAGCGTAATACGGCCAAGTAAACTGTCAGCCAATCGAACAGTGCTAGTAACCTGTCGACAAGTGGTTCTGTTCCTTATTCATGAATCGAAATCGCACAAACGTCATGTGCGAGGGCTCCTTAGACAGCAACTTGAAGAAACAAATGACTGTACAATCCGAGGTTGGCAGCTGGCAGCCTCATGTAGAAAAAAGTAGCTTGCTGGTGGGCCTGGGTTCTCTGGACGAGGAGCCTTTGTACAATAGTAGCCAGCTTCGACCTGCGCTCCCAAGAATCGCCAACCGGTGACCGCATTTGCACAGGAGCTGATCCCAGCAGGTGGGATGCTGCCAGAGTCACATTCTGAAAGATTAACACTGAAACGAAGAAATGAAGCTCTCTCTCAAGGCCTGGCAGAACTGATTGCAGCCATCCCAGGGAATCAGGTTGCCATCGTCGCAACTTTCACCGAGCACCTGGTCGCGGCTGTGCACCTACATCAAATTAGACCCCGCCCCTTGTGGCAGAATGCACTTCCACTTCACCTCTGACCAAGGAATGAAATGACTTGTAGGAACACAAGTATTTCTATATATATATATATATATATATATATACATACGTAATGAAATGAAAGGAAACTGCATCCTTTACGTTCCTTTGCGGGGGTCAGGTGTGGCTTGCCTCGAAGCCGTCTCCACAGATTGGCCTGCACTGAGACCTGAGTACATGAAATCCAATTTGCTGCAGTTCCAGTTGGACATGTTACGATCGATTTGTGTGGACCTCTCTGGCAAAGCTCAGGTGTCTGGGGCTGTGCTCGGCCAAACTCGCTTCAATTCAGCACAGACAAGAAGTCGCAAGTGTTGCTGCAGTCCGCGGTGTCTGAATTTGCTGCTTTTCACCATAGCTCTCGTACACAAGTCTGTGTGAAATCTATGCTTGGTCCCACGTTTTTTCAGGCTCAGCGCACCCCGACCCGAGTAAACAGAGAGGAAGCGAGAGAGGGCTGGCCTGAGGATGAACCGCTTGGCTGCCAAATACCTTCCCTTCTCCATCCGCTTCCCTGCATTCCAAGTAATTCCTAAGTGAATGGGAATAGGATGGTATTTTCGCCTGGCGGAATGTCCAAGTAATTAGTAATAAGAAAGGAAAGGGATGGCAGGCGGTGGGTCATCTCCACCCCGGCTCCTTTTGAAAGGTCTTCCCAAGGCCAAGGCGTGGCTTAGAGATGATACGAGGGAAGGGCCTCTCTTTTCCTTTCGCTGACATGTCTTTCACCTACAGCATAGATTGATGTGTGTGTGTGAATGACAGGGAAAGGCAAAAAGAGAGAGAGAGAGAGAAAAAAAAAATGTCTGGAACTCTGCGAACGCACGGTCTAACTATTACAGTGGGTGAAGGAATGGGATGGCCTTCAACCGCTCTCAAATCCCTCTAATTGTGCTCAAATGTGAGCATTCACTCGCCCTCTCTCACCCATCTCCATTTACCAGCGACTAAAAAATGGGGAGATGGGGAGAGGCAGCATGGGGAATTGACCCTTGATTCCCCGCTGCGAAAGGCATGAGCGGTGGATGGTATCTTCTCTGGCGGAACTTCCTTTATCAGCTAGTAATCAAGAAACTGCAAAGGAAAGGGCCGGCAGGCGGTCGCCAACTGAGACGGAGAGTTCCCATTCCCTTCCATCTCTTGGTGTCTTTGTCTGGCGGAATAATTCCAAGAGCAGGAGGAGAGATGGGAGGAAAGAGAGAATATAGGTGTGGCCCGCCAGCCAGTCAAAAGCCATCGATTCTCTCCGCTCTTCCTCGGCCCCTGCGCTTTCCACAGTAAAAGCCTTCAATAGGACACACATTAAAAGAGTTCAATAGGACACACATTAACAAATAAATTGAAAAAACAAGAAATATGCAAAATACATGACTCCTTGGCTTTTGCTTCTTTCTCCTGAGATGTTGAACCGACAGGAAAGGTACGTCCCTTCTCTTCTCGCAACCTTTCCACCTCCGTCCGCTCCGGAAATGCTATCCAATAGGCCAACCATACTAACTCCTTCCATCATCATCCGTTCGCACCGAGAAAGGGAGTGAACGAAGGATTTGATATGATGGGAGTCCTTGAATCATAATGTTATCTGTTGCCGTTCCTTTCTGTCTCATTCACGTTCTGCTTTTACTATGTTCTATATATTTTACTGTATATTGCTGTCTCTTCTTTCTTTGCTTTTATCTTCCCTTCGCGGCTGTTCCTATCTGCACCATCAAATGTCAACTGGGATGCCCTGCGGCTTGGATAAGGTCCCCCCGTGGCATTCGAAGCCGGGCTCTGGTTGGCAAGTCGAGGAGCAGCCGTCCTGACGCCAGAGCTCTAAACGAGCGCCGCACGCAGCCGCACGCAGCCGCACGGCCGCTAAGCGGCCCTCTCGCCTGGTCCCAATTGTTGCCATCGTCGCAGGCCTCTGAGGGATGGCGCCGCCCATCCTGAGTCCAACATTGATCCCTTGTATCCCCAAGACTTGAACCGCCAAATAGCTCAACTCGAGCTTACACGATGAACTGATCTGAGGGTTGGTCGCCACAGCGGATTGAGCAGACGGAACGGAGCCAGAAGTCATCATACGCACATCTTGGTGAGATCAATCGTGAACATCCGAGCCGTGCCCAATGACAATCAGTTCAACGCTCAGTGCCTGTACAATTGAGGTTCCAGCTCGTACAAGGGCTCCACCTTGCAGTCTGGGCTGCACCCATCCCCTGGCCTTCGCAGTGGAGCGTGACATTGCACTCTCGAAGGCTTCAAGTAATATTCAATAGAAGTGAATCCACTCTGTCCAGGGCTTTGGCTGGTTGTTATTGTCATCACATTCCTCCATGGGCGTCATCAGAATTCCGTCTCCGCAAATGGGGGTGCACACCTCCAAGCAGCCACCAAGCACGGCTTGGGCTTGCAGTTACAATCATATCAGGCATAAGGAGGTAAAAAACCACGCATGCACCTCTTTGCTCGAACCTTCTGCCGGTCTTGAACACGTCCAGCCTTCGAAACAGTACTATGAAAAGCAGTTGCGAATGCACAAAACATGGCAGCAAATGATTGCCTGCTCGCACTGTGCACGTGGAAATGTCGCAGCCTCGGCAGGAGGCTGCTTCAGAAGGAACAAAAGGACAAAGCGGCCTTGTGTGACCGTGCCACTCAGCTCTCAGCCCCTGGAAGGGATGGGACCAGTATCACAGGCCTGGCTGACCAGCATTCAACTACACAAACGCAAAGATTTGTTTTGTGTGTACATGATTAGCTCTTGGACGACTTTTTTGCGTTGAAAGATTAACTTCCTCGTGAAGGGACCCCCTGTCAGGGGCCATGTTAGTGGCATGGAGTTTCCTAGGGAGGGAGGGAAAGTTGCATGGATTCTACCTGGATCACGTGGTCTGCCTCGCGTAGAATTTAGAGCCTCCCTTGTCTTAGACAAGTGTTGTGCCTCCAGCTTGTCTGCCGCCAGCGTTGAGGAGAAGGCCCGATCCACTCGCAGGCCGTCACCACAAATTGGCCAGCAGGTATCCTCTGCATGGGCACAACAGGTTCCCAGCATTTTCCGGTGTCCGAAATGCAACCACTAAAGACCCCATAACACTCAGCGCATTTTGAACGGCATCCCCTCCACCCCAGTGACCTGCATCCTCTATTGGCAAAATGCTGGCTTTCCTGCTGCTAGAAGGACTTCTGGCACTGCGTGGCCAAACCGTCAGTGTTTCCGTCAGGCTGAAGTAGTATTGTTCCCACCGCTAGATTCACTTTGCATTGCAAATCATTAGCACAAGCAGCTTGAGCCCCCGCCAAGCTGAGCGTGCTTTCCCACAGACAACTAGCTGAAGCAGATCGGCTCTTCCTATGCCATGCAAACAAATTATTGCGTGGTTTTGCTTTCAAATCCAGCCAGCCACTGGGATTTGCATTTGCGGACTGTGGTTGTGTTGCGTTTTCTGACATGCAACGCGCTCGAAAAGTGTGGGTGCTGAGAGACGTCTCGGCAAGTCAGCCAGAGACGAGCTGTCTCTTGCAACCCTGTTGGGTGCTCCCCCCGGCTGTTGTTTGGAGATGGGATGCTCTCCCTCTTGCCGTTGCCAAAACAATAATCAGTTGTCAGTTGCCCAGCCAAAATGAGGCAATCAATACCGGCGCGTTTGGCTGCTACGCTGAATGTGAATGATCCGATGGCGACATCAGGCTCGCCCTGATTGCAGCCAAAGTGCCATGCTGCGCAAGCCGCCACCAGAGCAAGTGAAGCCCCTGCACAAGAGCCAGCTTGAAGGGCGCCCACATCTTGGGCATCGCAAATTTCACAAGTTGCACGGTGCAGGGTTCATCAAGTCTCAAAGTTTTGTAAGACGGGATTCATACAATCGCAACCTCAGAAAGAATTGAATCCACGACTTGAGGTTCTACTGCTCGCAAACTGCAGGACCCGCCTTTCAATCTGACAACTGGCAGAGCATCCATCCCCTCCGAAGGAGTTTCCGTCATCACACTCCTGGAGCAAAGCAAGCCGGCATCGGATTTCCCATTGATACTCTCGGCCAGTCTGTATGCACTTGGCCAGCACGGCATTGTTCTCCTCTACAGGTCCACGCACGCCGTCCCCGCAAGTGGCACGGCAGACCTCGCCAAGCCAAAACAAAGCTACAGCGACAAGTACCAAGTGCAATCGAACGCAAAGTGCGCATTGTGTGGACTTGCGGCAAACGCAACCGAACTTGTGCACCGGAAGAGAGGTGCTGCCATGCTGCGCCACCGTTGCCATCCGAGGCTTGAGGGCAGGAGGTGCCGAGCTGCTCGATCTTGCAGTTCCAACCTCGCTCGAGGCGTGGCTCGTTCTTCCCCCGTCCATCCCCACAGATGCGCAGCAGGCTCCACTGGGCCAAGCACCACAGCCATCACCGCTCACCTGAGACCCCGTGATTGAGCAAGCTGGAAGCTGGGGCATTGTCAGTGAAGCAAAACGTGAGAACCTGCAAAGCAACACGCCTGGTTTCCATCGTCGCACTCCTCACCCTGCACAAGAAGACCATCTCCGCAAATTGCCTGCACATAGTAGTACGGTTGAAGGCTCCAGATTCAAAGCTCCGTCAAGGCACCAATTTCACCGGGTAAGGCTCAAGGCCAAACACAATTGTCAGCTCAATGCACTCACACCTCGCAATGGTCTGGGACGTACCGACCTCCCAAGGCTTCAAAGTGTGCACTTTCGCTCTCGCTCTCTCTCACGCACAAACACATGCTCATCTTCGCAAGCAATATGAGGGCTTCTGCTCTCAATCAAGCAAAGCATGTTCAAGTCACCGGTCGGTTCCCCTAGAAATGTGCTGCATGAAGCATGGAATCGTGACAACACCAAATGTTCGCTGCCGTTTACTGACAGCGCCTGGCCCTCGGGGCGCCATCGGGGTGCAAGCGTACCCAGCATCCACCTGCAGCTCGAAAGCACGTTGCTTGCATGAAGCCCTGCCCGGGAAGAAAAGGCAACGCACACAGAAGGCGTGTGTCGCCGATGTTTGTTTTGCAAGTTTGGCGGTTGCTTGCTCTGTCCCACAGCGAGCCTCGCAGCGAGGACTGCAGCCATCTGCAGAGATGTTGTTGCCATCATCACAGCCTTCGCCGTCATCGCGCCGGCCGTCTCCTTCAAAGCCCAAACTTCTGTTGCCTTCTCGCCTCGTGCCTCTCTCGGACCCCGGAGATCCCCATGCCGCTTTACAGCAGCGATGTTGCTGAATCCCAAGTTGTCGGTTGAAAATAAATCTAGGGCCCCTGCCGCAGGTCTGGGCACCACAAATGAGCTCGCGGTCCACAGCGAAACCCGGGCTGCACTTGGAGCCTTCGCTTGCTTGCGACGCTTGCGCTTGCGGCGATTGCCCGAGTCGCAAAGCCTGTAGTGCCTGGAGCCGGATCGCAGCAAACCCATGAATCCTGTCGCGGCGTGTGGGGTCACAGCAAGCATCATTGAGCAGCCTGCTTCTCCCTCCCACCCAGAAGCTGATGACTGGCACATGTTCCCCAAGCAGAAAGCATGGTGCCCAGCACCCACAAGCTCGCATCCAACCAGTCAAGTTGGCAACTCCTCCACGGCGCAGTTCTGATCGCAGCCGTCACCTGCAAGCACGTAGATCTGGAGTGGGATCGTACAAGTTCATGACATCTTTGAATCGTGGTTGCTTTGTTTTGCTGCATGATGAGCTGGTCACCTTGCACCAGGTTTCCATCATCACAGGCCTGCAAGCAAGAGCAGTCCAGCCAAAACATCTGTCCGAAACCTCAGAGACGTGAACACGGGTTGATGGAACAAAGCAAATAATAAGCGCAGCCGCTTTCGTTGTTCAGGTAAACAGTAAACAAGGTGCCCAATGAATTTGCAGAGTGCAATTGCTGCCATCTTGAGCACCGATGTTTTTCCAGGCGCTCACTGTTGTGGCCTAGCATCACTATGGGCAGCGGCAATGTCGACCCGTGCCTTGCTGCCCTTGACAGCACGGTGACAGGTGACGCTCAACAATCAAGCAGCCTGTAGCAAGCCGAAACCGAAGCATGCTTGCCCAGGACCTCTGACTTTCACTAGTGAAACAAGCGTCAGAACTTCAGCACCGACACCGCCACACGGTCGCTCCTTGCCAAAGTCTTTGCCCTCTCTCTACGCTCACAGCAGGCAGCGGCCGCACGGGTGAAAAGCATCTCCGAGCGGGCCAACTCCTTCTGCAACGGCACCAAACGTTCGAGGACCTGAACGCAGCGCGGTCGTCTTCGTTTAAAAATTGGCATGTCTAGTGGTTCGACAAGCTACCCGAGAAAGCCCTGCTTGCCTTTGGCAGGGCAACTATTTCAAGGAGTGATGCGGCAGTGTTGACCCAAAAGAACATGTCGTGCGCGATTGAATGTACTCCGAGCAAAAGAAAGCTGGATCCATATCAACATGACGCATCATTTTGGGCATGGCGGGCAAGGCCTTCTCCAGCAGGTCGGGAGAGAGCTTCACGAGGCTGGGCAGGAAGCCATCGGCCAGTGCCTTCAGCAGCCGCACCAGGGCCGGCAGCTGCGGGCTTTTCACGCACGAGGCCAGGTCTTGGCGCAGGCCCAGCCACGCGCACACCGTCTTCAGCAGCTGCGGCAGGTCCTCCGGCGCCACGGAGGACCTGAGCAGCGCCACGTCCACGCGCTGCTCGCCTCGGCACTGCCGCGCCAACTTCGCCACTTCCGCGGGCGACAGCTCTCGCTTCCGCTTCTTCTCCGGAGCGGAGTCCCCGGCTCCCTCAGCCTGGCCAGCCAAGGCCCGCAGTGTGAAGCGCGGCAAGGACCAACGCACGGCGACGAAGGCACCCCCGACGGTGGCCACAGTGAACCTGTCCGATGTGCTCAATAATAAGTTGCCTGCTGACAAGGTGACCTCGCCGGCAGCTGCTACAAGCCCAAACCTTGCATCGCGGAGTCTGAAATGCATGGCCCCCTCGCCATGCCACCATTCAGCGAAATAGCCTGAGACAGCATGCCAGCCTTGGGTGGCCATGTCTGCTCCGCCAGGTGAAACAAAGGGTACAGGCCGGTCTCTGTCATGCAGCTTCGCCACAGCAAAATGGCGCTCGACTGCAGCAGAATGGTTCTTGCCATTCTTTACACCATTTGTCAACTCAGGCTTACGCCAACACAGCAGGATCTGGTGCTTGCCAGCTATTCTACCTGCATTCTCTGTGGTATCTGCGCCTGCGAAAGCAATTGATTCCAGCACATGTGTAGGTCTGGTTCTGAGTGAACCCCTGCACTCTACTTTGATAGCGTTCATCTCATCCAGTTCCAGGACGAAGAATTCGAGCTCAAGGCTGGGCGCCTGCCTCACCAGCGCCACCCGGCGAGGTCGCAGCCGTGCAAGGCACATCGAATTCGAAGTGGCGGCCTCCTTCAGCTTCACGCCCTTGCCGCAGGCCTTCCCCGTGGTGAGGTCCACAAATCGCACCTGGCCCGTCGCCAGGGCGAGCGCGGCCAGGCCCTCGCCCGCCCCGCACACAGCCTTGATGTCCCCCGGCAAAGCCGTCATGCGGCCTGAGAGCTCTGCTGTGTCTGCAAGTTGGTAGCAAGCCCACGACTTTGGTGGCACCTCCACAAAAGAGACCCAGTTGGAATCTCCGTGGCCGTGATGCAGAATGCCAAACTCCGGACTGATGGATCCCGTGAACGATGCTGCATCTGTCCAGCTGGCTTCAGGCAGCAAGTTCAAATATTTGAAGCCAACATCTTGGAAGAATACGAGGAAACATCCCTCCTTGTCGGTCGGGGCAATAGCACTTGCCTCAGATGACGACGGGATCTCAATAGAATCAAAATCAGGCATGGCTCTGTCTCTATGACTTTAACTTGAGCAAGGCGGCAGCAATATGCGGCTTCGTTCACTACCAGTGTTCAAAGCTTTCAGTACGGAGGACAATTGTGTTCCGGCAATCAAGAACCATGCAAGGTCCCACCGCACTCGCCCCGGATGCCTCGCCACCACGCAGCTTTCCGTCACCACAGATCGGTGCACACACTGATGTTGTGTTTGCGGGGGCGTAGATATACGAGCGGCATGCCCAGCCATCCTGCGGCATGCGCTCGCCCATGAATGGCACTGGGACTCGAGCCGCTGCAAAGCTCATAGCAACAGCACGGCCTCCACTTGGCAGCTTGAGTCGCAGCCATCCTCCAGCTGAAGGTTCCCATCATCACAGGCCTGAAGGTCTGGCGCTGCAGACGTCCCGAAAATAGAGTGTGCTTGGATACCCGATGCCTGTGCCTTTGTCTGCCCTGTTGCCTTTTTGTCTTTGCGCCAGCCAGCAAAACAGCGGCAAAACTTTGTGATGCTGCACAGTACAGCAAGGAACACCAAGCGCGCCTCCCCCTCCAAGCGAAGAGAGTCACCACAAAGTGGGCGGCACGCAACCTCACAGCTGGGCTCCGTGTGCCGATCAAAGCCAAAACCTGCGTGCCACGGATGGATGACACAAGGAATCGGTGTCTTGAGCCGCCAGCACCAGGCGGCCAGCATTGGTAGCCCTGAGCCATGGATCAAATGCCACTGGAAGCAAAACATCTTTGGCCTGCTCCAGCTGGCAGGTCTCATCACAGCCGTCCTCGTGCAATGGATTTGAGATGCTCGGCGCTGATGGCTCTTCAGCTTTTGAACGCATTGGCATCATCGTGCCAATGACACCTTTGTGATCGTCCCTGTTTCTGGCTATTCCAGCATTTTTCTACCCGTTTAAGTTTGAGAGCGGGCCGCCATGGGGCCTGTGTTTTTCCAGTGTAGTGCCTTTTGGGGCCTGTGTTTTTCCAGTGTAGTGCCTTTAGTGGCGCAAACAGGATTTGTATTTATGTTGTGTTTTTCTTTGTTAGACCAAGGAGCCAGAACACACGGGCATGTCTTTGTGCAAGACAGCTTTTTTTTGTAGACTTGTTTGCTGGACTGTTGCCAAATCAAATGCTATGTCACCCTAATTAGTGACAGAAAGAGATTGAAGATGCCCTAGGCTGAATCAAAACTGCTCTCACTTGGCGGACGGTTTCTTGTAGACGGAGGAGCACTGATAGGGCTTGGCCACACGCTTGCGCTTCTGCTGGCCGTGCTGGTTGATGTACGTGGCCTTCTTGTTGCGGATCGCTTGGTTATGCATCTTGCAGTAGTAGAGCACCTTGAAGGCGTGCCGGAGAGGAGAGGATTCGTTCAGCACACGTGCGTAGTTCCGAAACCACGCGAACACTTGCTCTGCCGCAGACGTGTTCACGTGCTTCAACCGCTTGGCCAACCGCGGCACATGCAGAGGGTTGCACTTGCATGTCTTCTTGTGCCCAGTGGCATGGAAGCAGTCGATGGTCCAATACTTCACCTGCTTGAATTCTTTCACCTCCAGGGCTTGCGGCATGAAGGCGCAGTTCCGATCCAGCACGAAGCAGTTAACCTTCTTGTACATGGGCAAGATCTTCAACAGTGAGTCCTTCACAACTTCGTTGTTCTCTGGCTTGCTCATGCAGGAAACCGAAAGCACTTGCAAGTTCTTGGGGTCGACGATCATGAACCACCCGTGCCAAAGCCTTGTGTCCACACGAGCAACCCTTCATGTGTGTGCTGTACACAGGCTTGGAGAGCGCGCCACCGGGAATATGAAAAGCAGGGCATAGGCTTGAGGCACCAGCGCACATGAAGGTCAGCTTGAAAACATGGTACATCGGACTCTTCATGAACTCCGCAAAGACATCCGCCGAGATGTACGCATGCATGCCATCGTCGACTTTCTGCACCTTCCCGTTCGCGTTGATGACAGCGAAGAAATGGCTTCTTGTTGTGTCCAGCACGATAAACTTGCCTGGCTGCAGCTTGCTGTTTGTAGACACTAACTTCAAAGTGGCACCTAAGGGGGCCAACATCTCACATCCATCAGCCGCAGTGAACGGGCCATTCTTGTCGTAAGAAATGGGGCACCCAAGGCTGCGAAGAGAATTGCAAAGGCACACCTCCGAGTAGGTCTCGTTCGAAGCACCGCAGCCAGCAGGATGAAGCCAGGCCTCATCCATCTCCTCAGCTGCTTGGTCCATCTCTATGGATTCTTGGCTGCACAACAAGGAGCTTGCCGCTCTGGTTGCTTCCTTTGGCTGAGCGTGGTCTGGGGCAACAGGTGAAGGTGACACGACTTTCTGCGGGGAAGAGTCCAAGTCGATCACGCTGCCAGAAGACTGCATATTCAAGCTCCATGTCTTAGCTTTCTTGAAGACCCCCTCCTGCTCCATCTCAAACTTCTCCTTCTTGACCGACACTGCAGACTTCTCAAGGGCACGCTTCTGCTTGTCTTGCATTTGCTGAGTCACCGAAGGAACCGCCGCTGGCCTCTCTCCGAAAACTTGCTCCCGAATCCGATTGCGCTTGGCATCTTCCTCTTCATCCTCCTTGCTGCGACCCCTCTCTGCGAAGCGCTTGTGCATGACCGCCTCCACCCACAGCTGCTCCTTCTTCACCTCCTCGACGAAGTCATCTGTGATCTCCTTGGTTCCACCCTTGTGAAGACCATATAGACGTTTGCCCTCCTCGGTGAGATATTCCGCGTTGATCTCCCACACACGCGGCACTGCCTCGGTGTTGATGCCCGCCTTCCTGTAGTAGACGTGAGTCTTCGTGTTGAGCAAGATGCAAGTTCTCTTGAAGACAGCATCCATGTGGGCGAGAGTGGCACTTTCCACAATGCTGGGGCGCATGAGCTTGAAGAAAGTCTCGAAGCTGACGGTGTTGGCATACGCAGGCTCCTCGGAAACACCATCATCATAGGTGTTATCTGCGACGGCACGAGGTTCGTTTTGAACCTATTTTGTCGCACCCCATCGAGCCCAACACATGCTCTCATAGAGCCCGACATCCAGGAATGCCTTGAGCAACTTCATCGGGAGCATGTGCAAGGATGTGTCATCCAGGAAATCGCCCATGAGCACGGACCCCTGTTCGCCACGAAGAAAGTCAATCTCCGGCGTAGAGCGGATACAAGGCTGACCCGACCAGTTGAAGCGCGCCTTGTTGTGGCGCACCTGTGCCATCAGGACGCTCCTACCCAACGGGCTCTTTCCCGCGCCCGCCTCCCCCAGCATGGTGAAGGCTGAGAGATCGAAGTCCCATATCTCCTCCACGATCTCCAAGAGCCAGGAATGGTAATACTTGGTCGTCAAGGGGATGGGCCAATCGAACTCCTTGCGGGCCAAAGCGCCATCCGAAGCCAAGTTCCGAAGAGCGCGGTCAACCAAGGCCTGAGGCCATCCATGGATGGGAGAAGCTTTCCGGCGCAACTCCTTTGTCATCCATCGCAGCTGCTGCATTTCAGATGAGCTCCTGAAGCCATGTGCCAAAATGAAATCGAACCCCGCATCCACTTCCTCATCTGTCTTGTCCTCGAATGAGGAAACAGTCTTGGACTTCACGATGGCGTTGCTCGACAGCTCCGCACACTTGAACTGCCGACCACCCATGGTCTCAATGCAGTACTGCACGATCTTTCTGCCGAGCTTGGGCTCCTGCATCCAGATGGCGCGCTTGGCAACTCCGAAGCCGAGCTTCATGAAGAGAGGGGCCTTGCATTTCTGGGGGAAGATGAAGTGCTTCCAAATGGTATAAGATCCATCCAATGCTTTCAGGATGACCATCTGGAGTTTTACATCCTTGCCCACTTTCTTCTGCAAGCCGAAGGGTGCAGAAATAAGGTCCAGATCTTCATTTTCAATGGCTCGCTTGTACTCGCGCTCCAACACGGTAAAGTCAATCTCCTTGCGGTAGTTGAAGATGACATCGAAGAGGTGCACGCTCGCGTTGTCTGTGTGGAGCAAGTCCGCACAGGGGAAGTTGACCGGGTTGAAAGAGCCAGGCGGTTGCTCTGGCAAGGTAATCGGACTGGTGGAGTTCCTGCAAACCATGCCATCGAGCACCTCCCTGAGATGGTCCACGGTCATATCCTCCGCCTCGAGAGCCATGACTACTTGAAAGAAGAGGGAATGAGCTGAGACTTACTTGAGCAGGCTACCAGAAGAGGGAAAAGTAGATGCAGATCCAGACGCAGCATGGAGCAAGAAGTGCAACAGAGGAAAACACTCCGGGAAACCCCAAAAAAACAAAAAAAACAAAAAAAAACAAAAAAAAAAACAAAAAAAAACAATCCTGAGAGGGAAATGACAGGAGGTGGCTTGCCTGAGCTTTTGTCTGCCAGATTGTTTTTTTTGGTTTTTTGTTTTTGTTTTTTTTTGGTTTTTTTGGTTTTTTTGGTTTTTTTGTTTTTTTGTTTTTTTTTTTGTTTTTTTTGTTTTTTTTGGGGTTTTTTTGGTTTTTTTGGGTTTCCTCGAAGAAAGCCCCAAACAACAGTCATGAGAGGGAAATAAAAGGAGGTGACTTACCTGAGCTTGTCTGTTTTTTTTTTCGGTTTTCCACGATTTGTTTTGTTGTTGTTTTTTTTGTTTTTTTCTGTTTTTTTTTAATGATTTTACTGTACTTCAAAAACGCAGGCCCCATGGCGGCCCCTTCTATTAAGTTTCCTGTATGGGTGCCTTCTATGACACCCTGCCAGAATTCAACAACAGTTTGGAAGCGTTGAAAATGAAGTCACAGACGCAGGCAAGTCGGCTTTAGTAGGAGCGCTCCACATTTTGTGGTTGTCGCTCCCTTTTTCGACAGGAAAGTGACAGCAGCTGCCTGCCCAAAACAGGAGATGTCTCTTACAGAACGGTGGCGTCATCAGTCAATCAGCCATGTAGATGCGTACCAGCTTGATGCATGTTCCCTCCGAGGTCTTCACCCCCTTCCCTGCATTGCCGTCGTCACACTGCTCTGGTGCTCGAAGCAGACTGTCACCGCCTGCCCGTGGTTGCTTGAGAACATCAAGGGCTGGTTGTCTGCTCGAGCTGTGAAAACGATACTACTTGAAGGCTCCAGGTGACAGTGTGCACAAACCTGCCATCATCGAACTGGGCCCGCGACAAATCGGAGTGCAGAGTGAAAGCCCGGCAGTTACGCCTGGCACACCCACTGGCGGCCAAACCAGTCTGAATGACAGCAAAGTGGACAAATAATTGGGGCATTGACGCGGCCAAAGCCAATGCTTGGCAGGGATTTGCGCAGCGAAGCCTTCCCCAGTTCCACAGGTATAGCCAGCTTCTACTTGGCAGCTTTCGTCCTCGCAGCTGCACCACTCTGGCTCACAACATCAGACCTGTCTTTCAAGCAGCCCCGCGGAAAATTGGCCTTATGCATGGGGCCCCCTGCGCATCCATCGCTCGGAACTCGGTTGCCATCCTGCCAGAGCTGTAGCATCTCTGTGGGTGCCTCTTTGCATCCAACGTGCACCCATGCGGCCCATGTGTCTCTGAGCTGCAAGCATCACAGGCTTCACCGAAGCTGAGCAGCGCAAGGCCATCTCCGCAAATTGGTTGACAAACTGTCCTCTCAGCATCCCGCATCTCAAACTGGGCCAGAGTACATGGCAATAAGTCGACATCCGAACTCTAAATTGTCTCAATGCGCGTCGTCGTACATGCGCATATACGTGCATATACGTGCATGTACTTGCAGACATGCGTGCGTGGCTTCTTGCGTGCGCTGTGCATGTGTACGTGCATGTGCATGTGCATGTGCATGCGCATGTGGATGCAACCGTGCCTGGGCGGGCGGGCACCTCGCTGGCTGGCTTCCTGGCTGGCTGGCTGGCTGCCTCCCTGCCTGGCTGGCTGGCTGGCTGGGTGGGTGGGCGGGTGGGTCACAGCTGGGTGGCTGGGCTGCTGGAAGTGGGTGGGTGGCTAGCTGGCGACGGGGAGGCAAAGAAGGGAAGGCTTGAAGGAGGGAGGCGCGCAGGATCCTTCCACTATTCTAAATCATGCGTTTATGTGGAAGAGCTGTGATGTTGACGACAAAAGCCCTGAATACATGCCGCAGAGCTCTCCTGTTTTGAGCTGCGAAAGGTGGTCCAGACGACACCTTCCAGATGCACACTGATATTCCAAACATGCATCCTCTACATGGCCCGCTTCCTTTCACATGGATTGCACTCCCGAGACGGAAAAATTGCCCGAACAAATGCAGACCAGCCTCTGACTTTGTAAAGGCATCTTCAGGTGTGCAGACGAACCCTCGCTCCTCAAATACCGGCGGCATAGTAGAAAAGTACTTGTGTTGATCCAATTGCACGGTCCACGGCATGCTGTCACTGGGGCTCTCGCCACCCGACACAAGTTGTCGCAACCGTCACCAAGCTCCTGAAGGTGGCAACATATTATCGGCACCGACCTCTATTTACCTCCAGCACAAGACAGCAAAGCAACTGCATTAAAGCCCATACACTGTTGTTGTCGTCCTCCATGCACCACAGTGATATGGTTGCCACTGTAAAACAGGCAGGATGTAAAAAGAACAGCAAAGAATAGCACAATGCAAAACTTGTCTCAGACCTCTAAGTAGTCTGGGAAATCTGGGCAGACTGGATAGTGCCATGAATGCAATGATGAGCAATAGCCGCGGGCACGCATACTGACTAACCCTGTGTAAGCCTCCAAGATCTACTGCCACAAGACAGCAACCTGTCCAAGTGCCAATTCCAATTCAAGGTTGCAGATAGAAGGCCTAATAATTTAGTGGAAAGTGCTTCCGCTGCTTCCGCTGCTTCCACGCAAAGTGCCCTTTGGCCCACGCACCTGTCCTTGTTGCCATCGTCGCATTGCTCTCCGGGTGCCAGGAGGCCGTCCCCACAAGTTTGCTCACAGCGCAAGGCGGTTGAGTTCGCCTGTCGAATCCGAACGGCCACGTCGTGGCGATTGACACCCTCACACATCGCAGTGCACCCCCAGTTCCACTTTTCTCAACGTTCAACTTGGCTGTTGGCTTCAGCTCCATGCTAACTGATCATGGCTTGAAGGCAAACTGCAAAAGAACCGCGCCTGGACCACGCACTGCCACCCGGGTTCAACTTGACAGTCGGGACTGCAGCCATCTCCCGCCTGCTACATTCAACTGCAGAGACTGAAGAGTACAAACGACATGCTAATGAACCGCATGCAGGAATCGCTGGTAAGCACCAAACCAAAAAGTTGCCATCATCGCATTGTTCTGCCAGTGTGCCAAGCCTTTGCAAACAGCTGTCAAGACATGCCTGTCACACACCAAGACCGAAGGAAGTTAGCTTATTCTCAAGTGGTCATGTAGGCCTTTGGCAAACTGGACATGACGAGCCATAACCAACCCTGGCAGTGGAGAACCGCTTCACATAGGCCATTTGACATGGCCATTGGCATGCTCTCAGCAACTCATCAAGACTGAGGACTCAACTCAATTCGAAGTCCATCGCCGCATATCGGCGTACAAAAGCTTCCTGGACCCGTGCTGGTCGGGCGGTTGGCTATTGCCTCGCCTCAGTGGCACCCACAATGGCAATGGTGTTTCTGTCTGGTGCGAACCTGTTAGTAAAGCGAAGCAAACCAACTACACAAGCAACTGAGTGAACGCAAATTATGTCAAACATGCAACAGCCAGCAACTAGCATTTGGCACATCTGAACAAGCAAGCAATGATATGCAGGTGGTTCATGGCAGGCCTTGGCAACCAAAGCTCAACAGGATGCTTGGCAGTGGGTTTCTCCGTTTCAGAACAATTGAAATGGCCACCAACCAAGTCCACATTGCTCAGTGACAACATGTGAGGTGCACAACTTGGAAAGCTGCATGTCCAGCCCTGCTCGATGATGCAGTTGGAGCAGCCGTCATTGTCGAACTCGGATCACAGATTGCACTGGCGAGCATGCCAGTCATGGATGTCGAGTCAAGGAACTGTGTTGGCATCGTCACAGTCTTCTCCCGGGTCAATGTCACCATTGAGGCATGTGTTCCGGCACACCTGCGACAGAGATGCAATGCCTCCAGAGGTAGCAAACATCCATTGCAAGCATGTCCCGGCCTCCTCACCTTCTCCTTCTCCAATCCTCTTGCAAAACCAGCCAATCTCAACCTGCGCATTCCAAACCACATCAGCGCCCATTTCTGCATCCAATCTTCAAACTCTGCATACTTGCTCAGCCTTGGATTGCAATCTTCACGGAAACAGGCTGTGTTTTGTGTGAAATATGCTGTCGACATGGCTCTTGGCTATAAGGGTCACCTGCTGTCAACCAACAGCGCACAATGTCTTGCCCTGCCCTTTACGGGAAGGCCAGTGCTGAAAATGGAAGCCAGGACCCAAAGATCCTAGATGTCACATTGAATCCCCCAACACATCTCCCAAAGAACCCAAATCCTCGAGCAAGAAAGCTCCAAGGAGGAAGTTTGTTTCCATCCCTCGAATGACTCGAATGCATTGTTAGCACTGCGACCCCAGTGCCCCAAGTTGCCCATTCTTTAGCCTGCATCAGTTCGACAATACTCCCACAACTATTTGACCCTCAAGATCGAAAGCACGTAGTTTCAAAGAGGCATCAAGAAATAGGCATGGACGCCCTGAAAGTCGAACGATTGGGCTGCAAAACAAACTGCAGGTCTGCTGCATTTTGTTCAAGCATTTTCTCGGACAAAGCAAACCGCACTTGCAGTCGATGGGCCCTTGGCTCCTTGTGAAATATGTGTTGGTTGCGTTGTCCACATGATAGTGGCTTATGCCTGAGACCAAAACTATTGGCGAATTCATTCAGATGTTGATGTTTCGTTGGTAAAGCACATGTTGATCAAACAAATTTCAGCGTCCCCCCCCCATACAGTTTTTACATGCTTATAAAAGAGTTGCTGGTATGGAATGAATGCCCAGATCTCCACTGTCTGGGAAGCTCCAGCCTTGCAATCCCAGCAGCCATCACCTGCAACAGTGTTGTTGTCATCGCACGCCTGCGGGGGAAAGGCCAGGGAAGGCATGCTGCGCGCCCTTTGCAGCTGTCCTCTGTGCCCCTTCGCAGGCCATCCCCGCAAATCGGTCGGCACGGTGTCAGAAGGACCTTGCGGTGTGGTCATCCGGCTTTGCTCTGGGCCAGTCGATCTCTGAGACAAAGGAGAACAGAGAGAGGGAGAAGGAGAGAGAGAGAGAGAGAGAGAGAGAGAGAGAGAGAGAGAGAGACAGAGCGAGAGAGAGAGAGAGAGAAGAGAGAGCGAGAGACATTGAACTCCAAATGTCAATGGAGCAGCTTCCAAAGCCATTCACGACTTGTCCTACCAAACTCTTCAAAAGGTCCTACCATAATCCCCATGACTTCAAGGAATAAAACGGGTAGAAGCTGTTGTCAAAATAAGCAATGAGGGCTGTGGGTTCGATTTCGCACGCTGCCCGCTTCAAACGCTGGGTCCTCGCACGGCTGGCCAACCAATGGTGGGACATTCGTAGCCCGGCTCAATGCGACAGTCCCTAGCACGGGCTGACAGGCTGTCTATAACTTGGACTGTCCCCTATCCCAGTAACTCCGTCATTGTTACGTTAAGACCGTGGAGGGACCGTGGAGGATGGCGCTTACACTGATCTACTGCTTTAGACAGCCGCTTGCGCAATGTGCAATGCACAGATCGCGCAACCAAGGGCGGCACGATGTGCAACCATCTCCATTGATGACATTTCCGTCGTCGCACTCCTTGCTTTACGGCTATTTAAAAGCAGAATACGTTGCCAGTGAAGAAGGTAAATGTGCGCAAGGGCTGAACCCTAGCCACAGAAATATGTGTGATGTATCATGTATCAAAAGCAACTTGAGAATGTCCGTGCTGAAACTGAGTTGTTGAGATGCCACGATGGAAAGGAAAGAAGCAAGCAAGGTCATAGCAATCAAACCAGCACCACATTTTTTCTTTGTCTCTGGAGCGGGTGTGGTTTGCAAGCTCAATCCTCGCCAGCGACGATGTGCCGAATGCCGTCGCCACCTCGGTGGCAAACAACATGCAGGCCTTGCAATCCGTCCTCAAGCCTCAACAATGTTCATCTGCAATGTCGATGCCCATGCCGAGCAGCAGGTGACGTGGCAGGAGTCTGCAGTGAAGGTCAAGTAGTTGTCTGGCAGCAGTTTGCACTCGCAGCCGGCAATACTGCTGCAGCACCGAAACAAAGCAAACTGGCAACCAATGCACCGCTTGCCAAAATGGACGGGTCCTGTTGCTTAGAAGCCAAACACCATGCACGCCCCGCTTGTGTCCGCTGCAAGGACGCCAGGGCAGGGGCTTTCAATTCCCAACCTAAGCAAAGGAAAACATGCTCACAATCAGCTGAGACCACGAGGCATGAGCTATGGTCTTCTTGCAACTTGTGCCCATCGCGGGCGTCTTAGCACTCTCCAAAGTCCCTGGCCGACCCTTGTAGTCGCACGTGTATCCAGGCTCTACTCGGCCATTGTCACAGCCATCCCCCGCCTGCACGCGGAACAGAATTCGAATCTGTGAATCTGGCAGGCCACCCAGGCCGCCCGCCCAGGCCGCCCGCCCAGGCCGCCCGCCCTCGGCCCATGCTTTTTCCTCACAGACCGCGGCCGTTTGGGCTCCAGCAGGCTGACTGGTGTCACCGGTCCGCCGTGACCGCTGCGCGGGCACTGCATTGAGGTCTTAGATCACTTGGAACTGAGCATCAGGCACTGACACCTCACACTCGGGTAATACCTTCAGGAATACCTGAGTATTCCCGTAGAATACGTGAGTTCCCATACTATTAGTTTCATGAGTATTGCCGTATCACTGGATTTGGATCACCTTGGCATCGCTGCAGTGCAGAGTAAGCTCCGGCAAGCGAAGCGCCACCAGCTGCGTACCAAGGCCGCCGTCCGGAAGACCTGGCTCAAACACCATGGCGACAGCGAAGACCGGCGATGGCGTTGCGCATGCGACATGCTCTCAGCTGCATTTGGGCTTGCCTCAAAATTAAACAGGAGGGGTTACGCAGGTTTTGGTCCATGTTTCCACTTACCAGGGCCATTTTGGTACATGTTTTTGAGCCACAGCCAGTTTGCCAATTACCGCATGGCACTCAAGATTGCCCGACTGCATCAAAAAAAGAACACCGATAATTGCTCGCCAGGTTGCCCATTCCCCTCTCCTCATACCGCACACCGACAGAGAAGTCCGTACACACCACCTGTTCGAAGGAACACTGGCTTTGGGCTGATCATGGACGTGTGCCCTCGTGCATACTTGTGCGCCCTGCCTTCTTTTTGGGTCCAAGAAGGTCTGCAGGTCCATAGCCAGAGAACATATCCTTGCAAGCGCTCGAACTGATACTCTGCTTTTCAGTGCCTCACATCCAGGTTGTCAGCTAAAGGCTGCTGTCGTGGGAATCCTTTCCAATGAACAATGAATGCATATACCGAAAAGTGATGGGGCTGATGCCCATATGTGAAATAAAAGCTCTTGCGATCAAGCATACTCGAGCGTCTTGCTAAGAAGTGTGTAGAAGTGTGTAGAAGGCGAGGCAGTACACATATGAAGCCGATTGCCAAAGTTTCATAAAGAAATTGCGACAAAACATCAGTGAAAGGACGCAAACACTTGCTGAGCGGGAGCTAGAACAAACAGTTAGCCAAGCGAGAAGTGTGGCTCCAATCCAGGACACCGAAAGAGCCTCGACTTGCAGCAAAGCAGCGTCTCCCGAGGGATTGAAGCCATTCCTGCAGCCGAGCATGAAAAGTGTTCAGGAAACAGTTTTACAGAAGAATGCAACATTCTGCTGGACACGGTCAAGTGCTTGCTGCTGTGGCTCGGGTATTTCTCAAATACCTTTGGATGGACCTCATCCAGGAAGCGGCGCCAGTAGTGACCAATGACAACCATCCTCTCAAATCGCAAAGCTTAAACTACCTCATTGCGCAGCAAATGATAGATGCTTGATAGGCAATTGCATGCACGATACTGGCCAGGACTCCTGTGCTGTACATTGCATGCACACACTTGACATGTGAAGTGTGGTGTGCGCCTCCCATCTTTGGCCTCATAGTCTTCCCACCACTTCAGTCGCTCCAGATTCCGCATCTTGCCCCCAGCAAAAAATGGCTTCGCTGCGCGTCCTGGAGACATCGTCAGGTGGTTGTTGAATAATGTCTTGCTTCTGTTTGGGCTGTTTTTGGCCGAGTCTCCTTCATAGCCAGAGCTCATGACCTTAACCGGGTTGCCATTTTGCTCGCGCATGTCAATCTCATCCTGATCAGTGATGCCTTCCTTCTGAATTTCCTCCTGAAGCGCAGGCACCCACCTGAAAGCCAATTACGCCCGACTAAAATATGCTGTTAGTTTGACTGTTTCCATTCGCCAAGCAAAAGATTCCTGGATGATCTCGTCGAAGCTGGCAAAGGCATCCAGAACCTGCCACCGGACTCATCGCCGAAAAAAGGGGGAAAGATCCACCCCTGAGCCCAGGGCAGTACCCTGGAAGCTCTGCAGTTTCTTTGCCGTCCTGGCATCGTCGCATGCGTCCCATGCGTCACACGTCTCATTGCGTCTCACTGACGTCGCAGCTAAAGACCTGCCACAGGCTTGCACCACTCACTAAGCTTGCTGCTCTTCATCCCAGGCTGCATGGACCACCACCACATCCTCCCGCTCCAATGCCATGGGAAGACTGAGGAAGAAAGCCTTCGCCTCCACATGAGCTTGCTCTCCGTATCTCTCTTTCTCACACTCTCTCTCTCTCTCTCTCTCTCTCTCCACCCTTCATCAGCTTTAAGTCACGTGTTCAAGCCATGAAACCATGACCCAGCTTGGACTCTACACTCTACACCTACAATGATCAATGTTGCCATCAAACCACTGCGCCAGAATCCGGCAGGATTTGAGCCTTTTCAGCTCCAGGCCTCTGAGCGGAAAGCTTCATCCGCCAGCACTTGAAAGCTCAAGGCCGCTTTGTCCTCCATTGGAGCCGCAAAGCCACAAGTCCAATCCTCCAATCCAGTCTCTTCAACATTGGAGGGCATTTCATTGGCCATCGAGCCATGCCAGATGTGATGTGCCAGATTGCGGGAAGGATCGAATGGACCCCATGGGCATGATGCAGCAGTTTGTCAGTAACTGGTAGAACAAAGTGGCCATCGCTGCATCATCTGCAGGTTGCATTCCAGCAACATGTTTTATCAATCTATTGGACTCTGTCACTCACTGGTCGCGACCTGCCACAACAATCCAAGTCCAGCCGCAAGCTCAACGACATCTTGGCTGCTTAGATGCAGTGCGTGAAGTAATTGATCAAATGCTTCACCGTCTAAGCCTTCTACATCACTTGAAGCCCAGATTTTTAAACAGACCCCGTCTTGTGGTCCTGAGGGCTCTGCAGCCACTGGAGGCAGGAATCTTCCATAAGACTACTGCCCAACTGCCCAACGTGCAAGTACTCACCACACAGAAATTGTATGTGTCGCCGCATTGCTTGCACACCAAGTTGGTAGAAGCCATTCGGCAAGCGAGCCCAAATGAGTGCATGCTCCAGCCCACAACTTCTAATGGTTTCACAGTTGGCTCTCACCGTGCAGAGTGTGCTAAATGAGCGATTGAAAAATCCCATAATTTCTAGCCCACTTTGCAATGTGGCATGCTGTACCCTGGCATCAATGCAACTATTATTGGCAGCATCATTTAAGCGAAGAGGTGTGCTTTGCAGTAGCCTGGCATCATGCGAGCCATGCCGTCCGACTCCTTTCGCAACACCTCCGTCTCCCCATAGATCCAATGGTTCCCATGCTTGCGCTCATCCCGCAAGATGTTCAGCTCGTGGTTTCCAAGGATGCACTGGGCCTGAGGGAACGCAATGGAAAGCTAGGCTAGCAGCCCATCAGCCCGCAAGATGTGCCCCGGCCTTGCCAAGCAGCACCAAGTGTCGCACAAGGCGTACCACACCCACGGAATCAGGGCCGCGATCTACGAGGTCCTGAGCGAACACACGAGGGGTCACGTATGCCAAGCGGTAGCAGCAACTTGGCATCTTGAGACTGACGGTCAATCTTGCATCCGACGCAACGCAATCTGAACAGGACTGAAGCCGGGTCTCTCCAATGAAAACCTTGGTGTGTGGGAGCAAACAGTCCTCATACGCTCAACCCTGGCAATTCCGCATTCCCACACTAATCCTGGCCAGTGACCAAGTGCCGATTCTCTGGATGGTTGCCATTGCCATCATAGCCCAGGCGATCCAGTAGAGTCAATAAAGCGCCACATTCCTCAAGCCGACTTTCTTGCATTCAGTGTACTGCTTCATCAAGAACATCACTCGTGACAATGTGACAAAGGGCATGCTCCTGTTTCTATCCAAGCTGCTCCATGCACGTCTCCAACAATGTCTATGGGCCCTTCGAACAGCTTGTCAACCAACTTGACGTTCGCCATTGGTGCAAATCATTCGACGGGTGTAGCTGGCAATGATGATATTGCACTTGCTATCATGGTCATATCCATGCTTGTCATCCTGTAGTAAAAATAAAAAATGTATCTCTGCTCTCTTTCTGGCTGATGATCGATGCAAGACTCTCGTGCAATGACCGTGTGAAATCGCATGACTATGTAGGTGCAAGTTGAATTCCTTACAGCTGCCAGCAGTCGTTATCATGCAAGTTATCAATGAGAAAATGCGCTCACTAATTCAACTCCAACAATGCAAACACTCTCTGTGCAAGCCTGCCTGCAAGTTGCAATCGTCACATTCTTCATCACCAACACGGAGGCCGTCAATGCCACTTGCACGACACCTTGTCAACTCAAACCATGTCAGCTTGACCTCTGACGCAATGAATGATGGGCAAACACAGAGTCATATGCAAATCTAACTTGCCGCGCACACGCGCCAATTTGGCCCCCGGGCTTTGAGGGCCCCCGACCCCAGCCATCTGCGTAGAGCCCCAATGGCTGCGCCTAAGTGCGTGAAACCTGGTGTCAGCTATTCAAGAACCCCTCCACCCGGCCTCACATGTCCAGCCAAGCTCCACTTTGCAACTTGTGCTGCAGCCGTCCCCATCCACCATGTTTCCATCATCGCATTCCTGGCTTATCAAGTTACAAAGCAAATAAAGAGGACCAAATGCCAAATGTGCATTTCACGCGCAAGCAAGACACCAGCGTTCAAAACTCTCAAAACATGCAAAATTGCTTGCTCTCTCTCTCTCTCTCTCGTGATATGTGATTCAAGCAATCGTACACGGGAATACAGAAACATGCGCAACGTTACATGCAGAAACAAACACAGACTGGCAACCGAATACTATGTATGCATGCTCTGTAAACTAGGGGCAATACCAAAGCAACTCGGCAACATTTGATTCTGGAAGGATGGAATAGCACCGCTACAGGAGAGGTGGCTGATTGGCAGCCAACACGGCTGGTCTGCAACTCTGGGAACGTGCAGCCTCCGCGTCGTGAGGATGGCCATCAGCGCATGATGACCTCAACAGGCAAGATGTTGTCACAGAACCGCAAGATGCACATAATATGGGTATGGGTCAAAATTAAACCACCATGGGACCACAGGTTTCATCCATGTTTCCATTTACCAGGGTTCCCATTGTGGGTACATATTCTTGACCCACTGACATATTGGAACTGCGGTGGAAGTGTTCAGAGGAACAAGGAACAAGACTTTGGGCTCGCTGCAGGACACGCAGGAGGGACCAGGCTGACCAGGGTGACACCCCGGCCATGTTCCAGGCCTCAAGACAAAGGCTTGAAGGCAAAGTTCGGGCGAACTCCGCAGCATTCTACAGCTGAGCGAGAAACTCGTACTCGTGCCAAATAATGCTGCGAACTGCTCAGGTCAAGGAATACGGCACGATTGGATTCTTGTTCGTTCACTTCCTTTTCCTGGCATTGGCCCGTGGCACGAAGCATGCGTTGACATGAACACACCGCCACTACGCAGTCCTGGAGCTGTCCACTGGCCACGGAGGCAGCTGCTGAAGCTGCCTCCGCATCAGAACCTGGGGCACAAAAGGCCAAGCTCACAGCCTCAAGCGATATAAAGGTGAGCCTCCGAAGTGGACGTACTGTGGATGGACGAAATCCTGCACCACTTGGAATCCATGAGAAACCGTTGTTGGTTGGAAGTTACAGGGGAATCATCCTTTCAGGGTTTGCTAGGTGGTGCAAAATTTCGTCCATCCACAGTATCAGAATGGCGGAGCAAGTCATTTCAGCCGATAGCCACGGCTCTTTCGTTCGGTCTGCTTGAGAGACGCGAATATTGGGATGACTGAACGACTTTCAGCCGACCAATCCCGGCAAGCCCCATAAACAAGGTGTCTTTCTGGAACAATGTCGAATGTGCACATGTGGGATCAAAATCGCCCCTTCGAGTGGGAGCTTGAACTGGTACAACAATCACCCCGGCAAAGAAAGAGCATGCAGCATTGCAGCGCCGCAGCTGGAATACTTAAGAATGATCCCAGCATCGGGCATAAGAGGTTAATTATGTGCATTCGAGACTTGGCACAGGTGAAATCAAACAATATCAACAGAGACACAGAATCACAACTCATTCGGAAAGCCTTCTGCCAGTCCTGTGCAAAACCCCGATGCACGGGCAGACATCAGCATAAGGTCTTTGTCAGGTTGGGTGTGGGCACAGGGAATCAGAGCCAGCCCCAAGGTGAAGGACGGCCACTGCCAGCCTTGGGCGGTTGCCCCACCAGAAATAGCTCAAAGAGCTGAAAGGCAGCAAAACTGCCTTCGCAGAGTTTGCACACTCAGAATTTCACCTGGGCTGCAACCACATGCTCACGGCGCAATGTCACTTTCCTCGAACTTTGAATTTGGAACCTTACAAAATCTTACAAGCTTTCACAAACTGCCTCCAATTCCACTCAGGAACGATCCAAGCCGGGTGGCTCCTCGTCCACTACCGTGCAGACACCACCGGAACACTGTTGATGAACGGCGCTGCTGCCTGCCCAGGTGCTCTCTCTTCGTCTCTCCACCAAACAATCCACATTGTTTCTGTCCTGCTGTCAGACTTGTGTGACAAACCTCGCAGCTCAACTAGCATAAGCTTGCAGGCCGAAACTGTTGCAATTTGCAGATGTCTAAACACCTAAAAATCGGCGCTGGGTTTCTTCAAGGGTCCAAGAAAAGAATGCGAAAGGCAGGGTGATTTTCCAATCATGTGATGTACAGGTGGACACATTGACATCCGGTCTGTTCAGAGTAGTTTTGGTCTACATGAAGCGCCGACGCGCACAGTGCGCAGAGCAAAGCCAATACACAGCTTGGGCTCGGTACACACGCACAGTTGGCACCCCATGAGGTAATCATCAGCACGGTGCGTTCAGAATGCGCTGGTCAGAACGATCGGTTTTGGATATCCACGCCAAGCTGAACGCGTGCGAATGATTGTTGACAGCGTCGGGCGTCGGACACGTCCTACATCCCACGCACTCACTTCAAGAGGGGGCGCGAAAGACCCAACAAATGCAAACAATGTTGCACCGAATCTCAAATCCCAAATCACCGACATTTTTCCTTATATGTTACAAAAACACACATCCTTCCTACGACTTAACCGTGTTTATGGTGTTCGTGTAAGCACGTGGGCTCCGACGTGGCCCTCGTGGGGCCCCGTCGTGGCCCTTGTAACTTCCGTCCTGGACCCCGTCATGGCTTCCGTCGTGGGCCGTCGTGGCCCTGTCGCGGGGCCACGAGGAGGGCCGCGTCGTGTCTTCCGTCGTGGCCCCGGCCTTCTGTCGTTGGCCCCGGGCCCCGTCGTGGCTCCCGTCGTGGCTTGCCTTTCATGGACCTCGTGGCCCCGTCGTGGCCGAAGGTCCCGTGGCGATCCGTCGTGGGACCGACCGGACCCGTTAGTTGTCGTCGGGTCCATCGTTGCTTCTGTCGTGCCTCGTCGTGGCCTGCCGTGAGCCCCCGTCGTCCCTGTCGTGGCTCAGGTTCCCCGTCGTGGGCGGTTGCGCTTCCGGCGTCGTGGCTTATTGCGGGTATCGCACCTTCCGTCGCAGCCCCGTCATGGCCCTGTCGTGGCTTCTGTCGTGGCTCCTTCTGACCCTCTCATGGTCTCGTTCTGGTGCATCGTGGCCTGTCGCGGGCGCTGTCGTGGCCCTGTGGCCCTTGTGGCTCGGGGCCACGAGGACGACGGGGCCAGAAGAGAAGGGCCAAGAGGTCACGAGGAAGCACACAAGCCAGGGCAGGCACAAGAATATCTTTGTGGACTGCGGCTAAGTCGCACAAACACAACAACGTTGGTTGTTTCGTTTTGTCGCTTAATTAATGGTCACCCCCGTCTCACTGAGGTCACTTCAACTTGTCAAACCGGCAAAAACCACAGTTGAGAGGATTTGCGCAGCGAACGACGGCGCGCGACCCACCCACACCCCCCCACACCGCCCACCCAGGCACAGTTGCTTGCTGATTGTGTTACGCGCAGGCCCTCTCTGTGGCCGCTACGCAGCCGTGTGGCCGCTACGCAGCTGCACGCCCGGCTACAGCGCAGGCGAAGCCCTCGGACACGTTGACTGCGCTGTCCTTGGCGATGATCCAGGAGACGCTTCTCCGACGTCCACCCCCCCTCAAGTTCAACGATGCGCCCTTTTTGCTGGGTCGCGAGAAGATCGGTCTCGGCTCGGACGACCAGCTGGTCTCTGGAAAGACGGGGCAAGGCAGTCAGTGACAGCAAGTCTTTTGGGATTGAGTCCTGCTGCTCAAGCTCCTCCCAGCCCGACCCAAAGATATGAGGATCCATTGTGACACATTTAGCGAAACCACTTTGCTGCGATTCGCAAGCTTCGGCTTTCACAGGCAGAGGAGAAGCGACGAGAAACAAACCTTTGCCAGCTTCATGCTAGACCCGGCCATGCAGCCTGGGATTGCCGCCCCCAAGTTTTTCGCCTAGGCAAGTCCAAGAGAAGAAACCCGTGACCGCTGTCCTCGGAGAGAGTTAGGAGACGTGTGTGTGTGTGTGTGTGTGCGTGTGCGTGCGCGTGACCGTGTGCGTGTGCGTGTGCGTGTGCGTGCGCGTAGGCGTGTGCGTGTGCGTGCGCGTGTGCGTGTGCGTGCGCGTGTGCGTGCGCGTGTGCGTGTGCGTGTGCCTGTGCGTGTGCGTGTGCGTGTGCGTGCGCGTGCGCGTGTGCGTGTGCGTGTGCGTGTGCGTGTGCGTGCGCGTGTGCGTGTGCGTGCGTGCGCGTGTGCGTGTGCGTGTGCGTGTGCGTGTGCGTGT